GGAATCAAAAAAAACTATCGTTTTAAGGAATTAAAAAGCCGGAAAAATTGGCGCTGGCCAAGACGGTAGATGCAAATGATGAATGTCTCAAGGATTTTACAAGACTAGAGGTGCCGTTTTTGTAAAAATTTGGGTTTTTCCCTGCCTTTCAGCCTTTCCCTGTACGCGTTTCAGATCTCGTTGGCTCGCTACGATAAGATGGAAGCCCATTTCCCGGATCTGAAAGAAGATATCGACTATTTTCGCGTGAAAACCCGTGAGGTCCTTAAGGATTTTGATACGCTACAAACGTTGCGAGACAAGATTTGTAGGTTTTGAAAGCTAAAACGTGTTTTTTTTCAATTCACAAAATTCCTTAAAGAGGCTCGGAAGGCAAAATACGTCCGCCCGTACCAGAAAAGTGATTCCATTGCCCGAAAACGTAAAATATTTGAGTAAAACCGATGTTTTCGGGGCGAAAACGACTTTTTGAGATGTCGTAATGCCTTGTAAGGCAGCCAATTTCTCGATCTCGGTGATTCTCTGGCTAATTTTCGTAATTAAAACGTCTGGAACGACCAAAATTCGGCGAGGATTCCAGAAATAGCTTCAGAATTTTTAAATTCAAGCGTTTTTCGCGTCCAAACAGGGGCAAAGGATCATGCGGCGCGGTCGCGTGGCTATTTGCCAGGAATCACAGCAGGGGATCGTGGACCAGATGCCAGAGTCCCTTTAAAAAGTCAATAAAAGTAAAAAAAGCTTCTGAAAAACCCGGACTTCTAGCTAACGTGAAGCTGATTTGCCATGGGGACCCGTGGCCGCCAAATCTCTTATGGAAACGTGGCGCAAACGGCAATTTCCATGTGTTCAAGTTTGTCGATTGGCAGGTAACGGAGAAAAAAAGGCATGGGGTGACCGTTTCCTTCACGGGCCCTTTAAAGGGATAAGGAAGGGCGGGTAGATGAGGGATGAGGGCGGTAATTGGCAACGAGCCACCCGGAAATGCTTATGTAAGACAGTGGGTGGAGAGTAGGGTGGAGCAGGAGGGAGCAGAGAAGATTGATGCTAATTGAGAACTAAAGCCCGTTTTATGCTAATTTTTTCTGGGCCTTCCTGATCCCTTGAAAGGGGCTGTAAACTGGGCCTAAGAACGCCAAGTAACCTAGTCAGGTATCATTTCCTTTACAGCTATTCCATATCGGCACTCCGTGCTGGGACCTGACACTGTTTTTGTTCGGCTGTATGGCACCCGAGGATTATGATAGGTGGTTAGAAACAACTAAATTAGTTTGATTTTAATCAATTTAGAATCCCGGACGCGATCCGGCATTACTACGATTTGATCAATGAGCGAGTGGCAGACAAAAATCCATGGGATAGTTTTGAGCAGGTTTGAAAACTATTCACGGCCAATCCAACAAGCCAAAAACGGCAATGTGCCGGGAGGGGCAAAAGCGTCGATAGGAGCGGAACGTAGCGGGCGCCAAAAAGTTTAAGTTCTTATAACTTTTTCAAACGGATCTAATAATGAAAACCCAATATCAATTATTGCAGAGTAGAATTTTACGGTTCGAATGATACCAAATACAGTCAGTTAGCCCTCCGAAATACCACTTTTCACAAAGTCGTCAACAAAAACCGCCTTCGTTTCGATACTTTTTGAATTCAGTTTTCTTAGTGCTTGGTATCATTGGAATCGCCTTTTCCCATTCTACAAAGTTGGAAATCGATTTTTTTAAGATTCCATTTAGTTTTAAAGTTATAAGGCTACGAGGTTTTGGCCCATACATTTTCTTGACGAATGGAGCGTCGCGTGGCTTAGGTCCTTATTGCCGCAAATTCTGGGCGTGTATTGCAAAGCAATCTTAGTTTTTCCAGCTTTTGACGGAGTTCAAGAAAACTTTTGGCTGGCTGATGCTCATGCTCCTTCCGATGAACGTCGGAATGCTGGGGAGTTGTATGGAGGCGCTAGACGGTAAGAACGACGCCTCATGTCTACCAGTTTTCGAATTTTGTAGCGTTTAATGCCTGAGATACCTTAAGATGGTTCGAATTACCACTGGATGCAATGCAGATAGCAGAAATTCTTTATTTTTAGAGGTCGACGAAGCACGCATCGCGGAATACGGACGACTTCTCGACGCGAAGATGCGACGCCTCAGCGAGGAGACCAAGAAATATTTGCTCAAGTGGTATTAGAAGCCAGTTATAAGTGATAAAATTAATAAATATATAAAAAATTCCATTCTTTGAGTATAAACATTGAAAGTGTCTTAAATGGTTTTTGCTATTTCCAAACATGAAAACTGTACAAAATTTTATTGAAAAATCTCAAAAATATCGATTTTTGACGAAAAATGGCCGCGTTTTTCGCCAAAAAATGCGACTGTTTCTAAAATTTTTCGTTGGTTTATCGTTAAAATATAGTTATTTTTTGCTAAAAAGACGATGAAAACACTCCTATTAAGCCATTAGTTTTCAGACTTATACAAGCAAGTTCGCCCCCCCCCCCCAATAATGCAAAAAATCCTATTTTCGGCATTTTGAACGTGACCCCCCCCATCCCACCTACCCGTAACCAAATTCTTTATTTTCGAGTTAGAATATTTTTCAATTTTGCTAGCTAAGCATAATTTCAAGTGAACCCTTCCGAACTTAAACCGAAATCCAAAGAAAAGGTATATATTACGCCAAAATACATGTCGCTTCATTGTTTCTCCATACCCAAAAACACGATAGCCCATCAGCAAACCCGCAAAATAATGTTCAGGTATTGTCGTCTCAAATCTCGGCGAGACCCACCTCGGGGGCTACCAGTTCAAATAAACAACCTCTTTGTTACCCGTTTTACCGGCCGGAAGACAGCCACCCGGAAAACGGTACACATAGGATAACGGGGGGGGGAATAAAATAACGGGGGGGCACTCATTATTATGAAATTTGCAATTACTGAGGGATTTTGCGAGTGCCATTCGATAGAGCGTCGAAAAATATACTAAGAGAATTAATTTCAGCCCGAAATAATGTAATAGAAATTTTTTATTGAATAAACAAAAATTGAGGAAAATCTATGGGCAGCACATAGGATAACGGGGGGGGAAAGTCAAATTTTCGAAATTTTCGACATTTTCGGTATTTTGAAAACGTCATTCGATAAAGCGTCGAAAACTGCCCTAGGAAAATTAATTTCAGCCCGAAATAATGTAAATCTCTAAGGCTAAAAAGAGTCTTTTTAAAAAAGGGCTTTTGGTTCTCGCAAAAAAAGAGGAATTCTCGTGGCAACAAAAAGAGCCAAATTCCTTTCAAACTCTTAAAAATGCCACAGAATGCGGGAACAACAAAAAGTTGCTGGCTATTTAAAACCTTAAGAAACTCGTTACCATCCCAGATCACAGGTCGGGTCCACAGATTAATTTCAAGAAAGTGCAAATCGATCATAATACAGAAATTATTTGCAAGCTGAAACCGCTAGAAACTAGATCTGTCCATTTTAATAAGGTGCCAGCAACTTTTGGTTGATCCCACAGTCTGTAGCATTTTTAAGAGTTTGAAAGGAATTTGGCTCTTTTTGTTGCCACGAGAATTCCTCTTTTTTTTGCGAGAACCAAAAGCCCTTTTTTAAAAAGACTCTTTTTAGCCTTAGAGAGAATTTAGCCCTTTTTGCCTCAATATTATTGTTAAGATCGTAAAATAAGCCAATGAATACTTAGTCAGATGAACTCTTGTACGCAAAACTTCAAAAAAATTTGCCTGCGGCGCTTTGTAACGGTACTAGAAACCATAAGGATGCACGGGGGCCAATCGGCAAAACCGATGTTGCGGGTGGGGTTCGAACCCATGGGCCAAGACTTCCCAGTATAGCGTGCTAACCACTAGGCCAACGGGGAGACTGGAGGCCTGTCTTGGGGAAGCTAGACCCGCCCGCCCTGACTCGGGACTGGGGCCGCCAAAGGGGAGGGTGGCGCCCCGTATGGCGAAGGTTTAAAGTTATAATATCTCAGAAAAGAAGCATTCTTTCGATGCAATTTCTTCTTTACTTTTTCCGGCAAGGTCTAATGTATATTTGAGCAAAATTTCAACCTAAACGGACATCACTAACCATTGTTTTGACCGCAATTTAGCTTCTAAACTTAAAAATTAAATATAAATTTTTTTAAAGCCTATTTTGAAAAAAACTCTTCTTGCGGTCCGAGATTATCATTCACCCAATAAGTGTGCAAAATTTCAGCCCAAACGGATGGTGGGAAGGCACTTTTTGACGACTACAAAGGTTTTGCGTACATACATACATACAAACAAACGCAGACCCCCCCCCCTCGAAACGCAATTTAAATCGGCTGTTAAAATTCGAAATTTCACTCTTTTTCAATTTTTGAAAGCTTATAGTATGTAAAAAGTGTCGCCGGTTCCGATGGTGTATTCAGTTTTGCGATCCGATGCTTGGTTCTTTTTTAAATCCGGAAAAGGACCCCAAAAGAGTCGTATGGGGGGGTACCTCAAACCAAAAGGGGTTAGCGGGCTGCGCCCGCTAACCCCGATGAAATTTTTTATCGAATAAACAAAAATTGATCAAAATCCATGGGCAGCACATAGGATAACGGGGGGGGGAAAGCCAAATTTTTGAGATTTTCGATATTTTGAAAACGCCAATCGATAGAACATCAAAAAATATACTAAGAGATTTTTTTACAACGCGAAAAAATGTATTATAAAAGTTTTATAGCCTAAAAACTATTTTTGAAAACTATGGGCAGCACATAGGATAACAGGGGGGGAAAAAATTTTCGGCGTTTTGAATATTTTCGAAATTTTGAAAATGCCATTCGATAGAGGACCGAAAAATATACTAAGAGTTTTTTTTACAGCCCGAAAAAAGCTTATTTAAAAATACTTTTATCATATAAAAAGTTTGAGTGCCCCCCCGTTATTTTTCCCCCCCCCCCCCGTTATCCTATGTGTACCCGGAAAACAGTATAAAACAGAGTCAAACAGAGAGATTCCGAATCGCTGCCCAAAATCTGATGTCTGGCTTCCTGGTGCCCTTATTTCTAATTTCCGCCCCTTTCTGGAGCACGGTAGCCGGCGGGGATACGGTAGGACCGCTCCTATCCGCGAACGCGAACCTGCGGGAACGCGTCATCGATCCAGAGACGGAATTCCTATCCGAGAGAGAATTAGTCGACTATGTGAATGGGCGCCAAACGGCCTGGCAGGTGGGTGCTATGAAGAGACATTTTTAAAAGAGACGGAAAAAGCCTGAATATGGAGTTTTTGGCTATGAAAATACTAAAATATTGATTGATACGCAACGCACTCGGCATGCTAAAACTTGAGAGAGACAAAGAGAGAGAGAGAGAGACAGAGAGAGACAGAAAGAGAGAGAGAAAGATAGAGAGAGAGAGAGAGAGAGAGAGAGAGAGACTTAGAAAAAGAAAGAGAAAGATAAAGAGAAAGAGAGAGCGAGAGAGACAGAGAGAGAGAGCAAGAGAAAGCGAGGGAGAGAAAGAGAGAGGGAGGGAGAGAAAGAACGAGGAGAGAACTGGATAAAACCTTTAAGGCCGAATACCACACTCGACTCGGCTCGTACCCGGACAGCTTGAAGGCGGGCCTCATGGGCGTTCCGTACATCCGTCCACCCATCCTGGCCAGGTTTGCAACGCCTTTTAAAGAGACCAGGAGGCCCGAGAACCTACCCCTTTTCTCGACTGGGTCTCGACAATTATGTGGAGCTCCAAACGGACCGTTTATCCATCTTTTGATAGGCGCGAGAGGTGCTGTATTTTAACTGCTGCTGCTTTATTTTTTGCTGTATATTGCGTATTTTGGCGCGTCGTATACCCAATCGTTGAAAATGGATGATTTCTGGCACTTTCAGTCACTTTAAAGGTGCCGAGACGCCAGGTGTTGCTTTAGAAAGCAACTCTCTACCACGAGACATCTCAACATCTCCATCCCCGACACCTTTGATGCCCGAGATTGGTGGCCCGAGTGTCGTGACCGCATCGCTCACATCAGGGACCAGAGTTCGTGCGGTGAGTTCGAATTTTTGGGTGTGCCGATTGAGCCTGTAATTCTGTGCATTGCTTATTTGCCGACATCTAGGTGATACAGGATTTAATTCACGCGACTGTTAACCGTTTTTTTAACTATATTTTTCTAGGCAGTTGTTGGGCGGTGGCGGCGACGGAAGCCTTCTCGGACCGAATCTGTGTGGCGAGTCGTGGGTCGATACAGGTCAGTCGCTTGTAGAGGTAGGAGCACGGCTGCGGTAGATTATTTAAGCGGTCGATAACCCAGAGCTTTTGCACCGCGACACGCAACGCGCGCCCCCCAGGGGTGCGGTGCGGTGCCGCTTCGCGGTCGATTTCATGACTGGAAAATTCGTAGCCATGCCGTGCCTCGCCCTTTAAAATCGCGATAAAAAAATGCCGAGCGGGCGGCATTACAGCCCTTCCCTTTTCAGATCGACGCGTCAGCCGGCGATCTGATGGAATGCTGTAAGGATTGTGGATATGGGTATGCAGTTGTATTAGGTTGTACCATAAGTAACTGCAGACGACCTCCGGTCGCCTTTCCCGGAAAAATTTCACCATCTGGTTATCCCGTTTTTAGCCCATTATTTAAACTAGAAACTACAAACTAGACAAATATGCCCTAAAAATTTCGAAAAAATCCTGTCTCTAAAACATTTTTTATAAATGTTTTCCCCGAGGCGCCCATCGACCCGAGTGAGCGACATCCCGGACCTCTCTTCCTTTCGAGCCATGTAAAAATTCATAGCGCCGAAATCCCCCAAGCGTCCTGTGTAATATATAATGCCAGTTTCATATCTTCTGAGCTGTGGTGCTCAATTGGCCCCACGGAGTTCTAAGCAGCCGATATTCACGATAGTTTGGAAAAAAATCCGAATTCCCGATGCGCGTGGCTAACAGGGTCTTATCAATTTTTTAAGGCGAATCAAATTAAAACTGACCCACTGCATCTAAGCAACACTTAATGACAATCATTCTCCTAAAACCAGCCTGCATCACACCCTCCTTTACTTCAACATTTTTTGCCACTTAGTGGATCAACAAGTGATCAACCCTGAGATGTGCCGACGACAAACAGTTGCGGTCGCTACTCTTTAATCCTTGCCAATCAAATATTCTCTATAATTTATTATTATTGGGCATTGGCAGTAGCTACTGTACTAAAATTTCCGAAGCTCCGAACCCAAACATTCAGGGAAACAAAAATTCATGAAAAATGTACCCGAAAATCCGGGTTATGTTTCATTGCGAGACCGCTATAGAACATTTGTTTTTCAATAACCTATAGGCTTGAAGCAGCTTTAACTAAACTCCATTTTCTTAAAACTTGCTCAAAAAGTTATCCGCAAAACTCGGAGAAAACGGTCAACAAAGAAATTTGACGATACGGGGCCCAAAAACGCAATTTGACATCTTTCCAAAATGGCCTGGAAAAAAGTCATGCTACTAGGTACCAAAATTTTGTTCAATACACTTTATAGCGCATAAATTTCTCTATCTACTGCCTCTTATTCAGGGCTCTAGGGTTAAGATTAACCACGCTATCCGTCACACAAACGAAATAGCTCAAAAGTCGAATTGCGCGCAGTCTTCCCTGGATAATTCGAAAAGTTGTGGGAGTCCCGGGTTATCGTTATAACTGCAGAAGGCCAACACATGACCCTTCATCATCTTGAAAAATTGAAAAAAATGAATGGTGGCTTACATGAAAATTTTACGATCAAAAAACTGCAGTTACTTATGGTACAACCTAATATTTTGTAGCCCATGTGGCTGCAAACTACAGAACTAGGGATCTTTAGGCGCGTGTCCTTTCTCTGGAGGCCTGAAAAACTATTTTTTTGAAAAAGGAGTGCAGGAGAGATTGGGAGAGAGAGAGAGACAGCGATCGAGAGAGAGATCGACTGAGAGGGCGATTAAACGAGAGAGCGAAAGACAAAGTGGGAGAGAGGTTGAGAGACGGCTAGAGATAGAGAGAGAGACAACGAGAGACCGAGAGAGATTGAGAGAGACAGAGAGACCGAGTGAGAGAGAGAGAAAGAGAGAGAGAGAGAAAGGTTAGAACGAGAGAGCGATTGTGCGAGAGAGAGAGAGCGATTGAGAAAGAGAAAGGGAGAGAGACAGAGAGAGAGAAAGAGCGAGAGACCGAGAGAGAGAGAGAGATAGAGAGAGAGAGAGAGAGAGAGAGAGAGAGACCGAGAGAGCGAGAGCGATAGCAGGAGGGAGAGAGAGAGGGCAAGAGGGGGACACAAAACGTCCAAACAGTCCTTTTTAGATGCGAAGGCGGCTACCCGTTCCAGGCGTGGCAGTACTTCGTGAATAGCGGCGTCGTGACGGGCGGGGACTACAAGGGGGTAAAGCCAAAAATTTTCACAGTTTTTAACCAACGTTTTTAAGCCCGGTTGCAAGCCGTACCCCTTCCCGCCGTGCCACAAAAATCACACGCACTACCGCGGGGACGTGTGCAAGGACGGAATGTTTCATGTTGGTGAAAATTTACGAAACCTATAGCAAAAAAATTCGTTTTCAAAAACCGCCACAGCTAATGGGAGTTTAGACGCCAAAATGCGAGAGGAAATGCGACGCTCACGGCTACCCGAAGCAGTACAGAAATGATAAAATTTATGGTGGGTTCGGGCCGGCCGTGACAAATTTTGTACAGGGTGTCTCATAAACCCCCGCCCCCTTGGCATTTGGCCTACTTTTTTCCGATCGCGCTGAAATTTTTAGGAGTGGTGCGGGACGCCAAACTCTATATAGCGTGCTTACTTAGAAAGCTCTAGCTGGCCGGATACGCGAGAAAACGCGGTAAAACATCCTTAAGCAGATAAGCAACCATTGGACCACTAGACCCATGGCCCACGTCAAGGGGGTTGGCGAAATGGCTGGAGAAGCAATTGAACCTGTCTTTTGGCAAAGCATGAGCTCTTTTTTGTTTTTTAGAAGGTTAAATTGTCGAAAAACGCGATCGCTTCACTAGCAAAAGCTTTGGGTTTTATGCCAATTTCGGATGCAAATGAGCCTGTGGTTAGCCAATAAATTCAGTGTTTTTCGGTATTTTTGCGTTTCCTCGCGTCTTCTGCCACTTAGAGCTTTCTAACCAAGCGCGTTAAATAGTTTTTGGCCTTCCGCACCGCTCCTGAAAATTACAGCTCGATCAGATATGAGGGGTCCAAATGCCGAGGGGGGTTTTTTTATGAGACACCCTGTACTCGACGATCCGAACACTCCCTTTTCAGCCCTGAATGCCTATGGCGTGGACAAAGACCCGGAATCCATCCAAAAGGAGCTCATGACGTACGGACCACTAGAGGTGCATAAGAGAAAAGCCGCATAAATGAAAAGTGAACCAGGGTTGGAAAAGCTGCTTCGCGGCTTTTCACGCTTGATGCGGCTTTAGTTTGTTAGACATTTCATATTGAACTTCCAGGTGGCCTTTGAGGTATACGCGGACTTTCTTCATTACAAAAAAGGCGTCTACATGGTGGGTTAAAGGCTCATCAGCATTTCATTATCAAATATCGAAATAATCGCAATCGATAATGTCAAAAGTCTTCATGTCGGCATTACGTAGCGATCCAGAAATCTCATCAGTCGTAATCTTTGGTATATGGGTTTCAAGGAATGTTCCGAACCTTTTATATTCCCACCAAACAGTTTGAATGTCGGGATTTTGCAATTTCGACATTGCGAAATTTCAACTCCTGAATATCCGAAAATTTGGCACCATCCAATATCGACTTTCCTAATTACGCGATCTGTTAGAGAGCAGTTTACTCCCCCGCCCCAGCCGGCACCCTGTTCATCTACAGGTGTGTAAAGTATACCAAAATACTCGCCAGAGCAAGACGAACATTTTCGTATACTTTACACACCTGTAGATGAACAGGGAGCCGAGATACGGTAGGCGGTGGGCGGCTGGGGGGGGAGGGAGGGCAGCTGCACTTCAGCCACTCAATCTGTTAGCAAATCCGGTCTAGCGCGCAAAAATGTCGAAATTTGCAGCACACTGCCGGCGGGCTCCTTGGCGGGCACGCGGTGAAGCTGTTCGGGTGGGGGCAAGAAGATGATGAAGCCGATGGGACGCCGTATTGGCTGCTCGCCAACTCCTGGGGCGACGATTGGGGGCAGGCAGGTCTGGGCTTTGCTCATTAATCTTCATAAGATAAATCGAAAGCAAAAAGTTCCATACGGAAAAATTCACAAATTCCATAAGCACAACGCAAAATCGTGAAATCGGCGAAAACTCGCCATTTTCGCCTTCGATTGCCGCCGAAACCGATCCTACATGAAGATCGAGTGGCTTTCGGAAAATGCTCTAATATTCGAAACTCGGCATTTCTATATGTTTTTTTGTCTCCAACTTTCAGGCTTCTTCAAAATCCTCCGCGGCACCGACGAGTGCGGAATTGAGAGCGGCGCCGTGGGCGGGATCCCGAAATTGGAATGATTTTGGCCGGCGTGGCCCCCAAAAAATCAATAAAACATTATTGCGCATAATCAAGGCGCGTGTATAAAGATGTGACGGACATTCAGTAATTTTGATATTGTATAAAATGATGAAACTGGCATGGCTTTTGCTATTTTTGGGCCTTACCTTGGCCGCCGTCGACTACTCCGATTGGGACAAGGCGCAAAAGTTTTGCGGCCGTGAAGTGGGCGCCGTGGTGTCGATTGTGGGTGAAAAATAGGGCTGCAAGAAGCCCTTGACCTTTTATAAACTTCGTAAACTACAGGGTGTCTCGATAAAAAGCCCCTCTAGCTCGATGCAGAAGTATCGAATCGGAACGATAGCTACATCATACGAAAGCCCCTTGAAACGACCACTTTGCAACAATCTTCCAAATCTATTTTTTGTTCGGTTTTTTTTCACCTGTCCTGGGCACGAGAGCAGGTTTTGTAAGTCAAATCTCCGTCAGCACGGCTTGGATGGGGCTGAAGCCGATGAAATTGAGTTTTTGGCGAAAAAATGTCTAACTTTTGCATAAAAAAAACAATAAAAATCGAGCTAAAAGTTAGGGATTTTGAAAATCGGAAAGAATAAATCTCCAGAGCTCGTCGAGATCTATCGATAGATACCTAAATCGTAAAAATCGGACATGACTGCGGACGTCTAGAGGGGATACTTTTTTTGGAACCAGACACTATTTTTATATATTTTTTAGATCATTGAAAACGAGAATTCTAATTCCTACATAGGTTTGCGAAAAAGAGGACATGGACGACGCGCCGCCAAATTCAGATGCCCGGGCCGTCATCGAGAAGTGTTGCCACGGCGCGGAGGGCTGCACGCTGAATTGGGTGAAAACGGAATGCGCCAGGGTTTTCCCGGAATAAATATTCGACATTGTTGAATCGTTTGCAAGTGGGGTATCAAGGTTACCCGCTAATATATGTTTGCTAAAGATTTCTGGATTTTTATGGATTTTTGTGTTCTTGTTTCGGTAAAAGCATCACATCATTGCGTCGAGAAATGGATTGAAGCTCGAAGTGGCGATGAAGTGAAGTTGTTTCCCGCAAAATAAAACTCTTCCGGAAACCCCGCAGAAATGATTTTTGGCGCTGGGAACCCCTCCTTTGAGATTTTTCAACAAAAAAAACAGGGCTACGGTTTACTTTACCCCCCCAGCCGGAATGTTTTGGTTACAACTTTTTCCATTTACATTATTGTAGGCTCAAATTAAGACTCTTAGTATATTTTTCGATGCTCTATCGAATCGCGTTGCAAAAATCCCGACATAAGCAAAAATACCCAAAACTTTGAGACCTTCGGCTGTGGGGGCGGGGGGGGTAAAGTCAACTCTTACCAAAAAAGCTAGAGTTTAGTCCAGTTTTTCACGAGCTTGTAGTCTTGTAGTTTATAGCCCGGCCTACAAAGTGACGTCCCATTTCCGGCCCAATTCCCCCATTTTTCTTCAGCCGAAACCATTTCTGTTTCGTTTTCCGTGTTTGGGCCGATTCGAATGGGAGCCCGCCGACCGCGTTCAGAGCACTGGCGTGTAGCCCGGGGGGTGGTGAAACCCAAAAATTTGTCGGACTTCAAAAATCTCGATTGAACGCTTGAAATCTAAACTAACTTCTGGATTCCAGGTAGAATGTCGGCGATGAAAGAAGATGTCTACGAGAGTGAGGACGTGCCCGAGCGCCCTGAGCCCAAATACTTCAACGACGACCTCGGGCTGCCCGAGGAGATCGAGAGAGTTGGTTTTGATTAGCTATTCATGACTTGATTGACTACCATTGGTTGTTTTCCTAAAAAAGGCGTAAAAAGTGGCGTATTTCACCCCAAAATGGCTTGCGGAAGCGCGCAATAACAAGGTTTTTACCAGAAGAACGTTTCTGGTAGTGGAAGATGTTAGATAATTGCCAACGAATAGATATGTTAGCGATTAGGAAGTATCGCACCGTTCCTACGGCAACATTACGCTTTAGGAATCTATCTAGAATCATAAACAGCGCATAAATCTAGGCATTGATACATCGTAATTATTGATCGAAGGTGTTAAAGTATACTTTCGAGGTAAAATCATTGATTGTAAGGCCTCGGATTGGCCCGTTTTTGGGTTCGTTTATCGGACGAGATTTGTTGGCTCACATTTTTTGTTATTTTTAAAGCGCATCTCACAACGACCGGTTTTAGATGCTTTTGGAACTTTGTGGCAGAGCGCATTGGGTAAAGCGTGAAATTCTAAAAAAATCCCATTTCAAAAATTGCTGAACAACGGTTTCTCATGAGAATTTCGGCTGAAACAGCGGATTTTGCGATTTTTTTGCCTGCGCTGAACAAAATATAAACCGTGAAAAACTTTCGCAAAACCCCGTAGTTGTTCAGCGGTTTTTGCAAGATGGTATTTTTGAAGATTTCAGGCTTTATCGAATGAGCTATGGCACATCGAAAAACTACGATCTCGCCTTACAGCCGCGCCTTGTTAGCTGTCTCAACGCCTAAATATCTTTTTCCAGATCCACATCGACATCGAGACGGTGATGAAAAAGTTCCAGGGGCGACTCGTCAGCGCGGAAAATGTCGGTGGGTGATTTCGAGCCTTTTCTTGCATTTTTGGTTCAGATTTCTCGGACTCAATCGCGGCAAAAGGCAAACGATCATACGGAAGTACCGGCTATGTCCTCGAAGTCATTGGTACGGCTTTGTTACGTAATTTAGGCTGTTTTGTTCTAGGCAAAGGCACCGGCGAACCGGAAACTCCCGCCCAGAAATTCAACCGCCTCTACCTGGAGATCAGCGAGTTGGGCGAGGAGATTTCGGTTGGGCTTTCGATTCGATTGGCGTGCATGTACTGCTAGGATGGCTTTTTGCGCATCATCGGGATTCAGTTTTGCTAAGACAAGTAGATGAAGTGTTGCTACAACGTTTTTGCCATTTTGCCACTTTTGCAGCTTTTGCTGTAAATGTGAAAATGGAGTGCGAAAACTATAAAAAAACCTACAAAATTTTGACAATTTGCTCGAAAAGTCGATATCTCCGTTTTTTACCGCAAATTCGTAAAACTTTTACGTTTTCCCCCTCTAAGGCGACGCGAAAGTAACGGATCAAAACGATTGTTACACGATTCGAAAGCTATTGAAATTACGAGTTTGCAAAAAGCTGCAATATGTTTCTTTTTATTTAGACCCGCTAGTTTACTAGCGATTTTGTAGAATTTTGCTGTGTTTCAGGGGTGCAGATGAGCTAATTTGCCTAAATTTCTCCAAGCAGAAGACCGGAAATAGCCGTTAATTAGATGGATAGGCCGTAGCTTCGTGTTTTTCAATTCGTTGTAAAATAGCGCATTTGAATAATAACATTTTTTCGAAGAATGTTGCAAACTCGCCTTTCCAACGGCTTTCAAATGGTCTAATTATCGTCCCTATTCGATACTTTTGCATCGAGTTAGAGGGGGGTTTTTGATAGGGCACCCTGCTTTTTGCGAAAAAATTTGTCTAGAATCAAAAGGCTGGCGCGGACGTCGGCACGGGGGTCTCGACGGATCTGTTGAAGAACATGCTCGACCGGATGAAGGCGAATCAGGTGGAGATCCTTCATTTTCCATCAAATTACATTTTCAGGACGCGCCTTCCGGCAAAAAATCGGGCGGCGACGGTGTGAACGTGAGTGGCGCGTCGTTCCTCGACGGAAACGTGGCGGCTTTCGAAAAACGGATTCAACGAATCGAAGGACTTCTGGGTGAGCGCTGACCTTTGAATAGAGTGCTATTTACTTTTTGGGGGTTTTTCGCAATTTAACTGCAAGTAGCTTCATGGGTTTTAGTAGAATTTGACTTTTTGCGGCGGGAAAAGTTCTAGGAACGTTCAGCTATTTCCAAAGCTGTATTTCTTCGCATTTTTTTCGGTTCTTGCACGTTATCTGATCGACCGATTTTTTTTTCTATAAATTCGGATACCTTGTAATGCATATAAATAATTTGAATAGTAATTTCTAGTGAACTTTGGACATTCCAAGTGAAAGGAATTATGAGAAAACGTAGAATAATGGCCAAAATATTGGAAACTTGCTCAAAAATTACCATTTTGGTTGAAAATCGCCTTTTTGTATTTTATTTGGCATGTTTAGGAAAAATGCCATTTTTACTAATAAATTACCATTTATTTGATATAATTTACAACATTTAACTTCGATTTATTTTTAGTTTCGATTCACTATCGTTTACATTATAATGACATTTTGTTGATTTTAATAATCATTTCTTTACAGGCGACCTCCCAAGCGGCTCGCAGCCCCTCGTGAGCGCCGTCGAAGATTTGCGACTACGCGCCGACGTGCTCAACCCGAACTTCCTGGAGTCGACGGACAGCCGGCTGAACACGATACTCAGCAAGATGAAGCAGGTCGATGAGAAGAAGGAACAGGCGCCGGCCGACGAGCTGGAGCGCAACGTCGACGAGCTGTTGGCGCTGATGAAGAAGTGGGTACCGCGGGGGGCTGTTCTTTCGTTATCAACTATAATAAAAAAGTTGTGGTGTCCGTCTGTCTGAAGCCGAATTCAACTCGAAGGGGAAAGGAGCTAGAGCTTAGCTCTCTTCGGATTCGGATAGAGCGCCGTCAGAAACCACGAAACTGATAAAAAAATTATGAAAAAGTTTTTGTTTAAATTATTAAAATTAACTTTGAAAGTTTTGCCTTAGTAAAAGTGGTGGGCGGCGGAGGCTGGGGTGATTTTGGACATAGTGAGCCAGATGGCGCGCGTTTCGAGGATGAAAATTTTCACGGGGGATTTCATTTCTTTTTTCTCTCATTCCATCCGGTCGGTCGTTATTTTTGTTTTTTAAGGGGATTCCGCCTAGGGGAGGTATCTTAAGCCATCAGGAAGGTATCGAAGTATTTTTTGAAGGGGATTTCAGCCATGGGGGGTATCTGAAGCCATCAGGAGGAAGGTATTTAGGTAGTTTTTGAAGGGGATTTCAGCCATGGGGGGTATCTGAAGCCATCAGGAAGGTATTTAGCTAGTTTTTGAAGGGGATTTCAGCCATGGGGGGTATCTGAAGCCATCAGGAAGGTATTTAGGTAGTTTTTGAAGGGGATTTCAGCCATGGGGGGTATCTTAAGCCACCGGGAAAGTATTTAGGTAGTTTTTGAACCGGATTTCGGCTATCGGGGGTATTGATGGAGGTGGGAAAGGATGTGGTGGAGTGGGACATGCAGGGTAGCCCGAAGGCCAGATGGTTGCAGTCGCGAAGCGACTGTAACCATCTGGTATTTTGCTATAATTTCAGAAATTCCTGCTAATGGAATAAGAAGTATTTTAATAACTTTTAATGGCTTTTTTCCAAATTGGGTAGAGAAACTATCAAACAGGCGCTTATAAATAGTTTATTATTTCGCATTTACCTGAAAAATGATTATTTAGGCGGAAAATCGAGATTTCGTATTGATATTTAGTATTTTTTGATTAGATATGTACGCCTTTTCATGTTAAAAACAGTGGAAGACATGTACAAATATCTATCGCAAATTCCGTGGAATGAATCTTATTTCGGCACGATGATTATAAAACAAGGCGTGATGAAATGCATCGAAATGAAATCGAAACGAATTCGATGCATCGTGATGCATCGAAAATCATAATTCTAGAGAAAAATTCGTCATTTTAAAAATTGGGCGTTATGACAATCGGAATTAACAAAATTCGATATGATGAAAATTCGGCATTATCAAATTTCGGTATTCTCAAAATTCGGCATTATGAAAATGTCGGTATTATCGAAATTCGAGATTATGAAATTCGGCATCATGAAATTCGGTATGCTCATCATTTGATAAGACGAAATTCGGCCTGATTGCATTTCGGAATTGTGAAAATTGAATATGATGGCCTTAAATCTACCAAATCCCCGTCAAATACCTCATTTCTAGGTGGGACCCGATCTGCACGAATCTGCCGAGCCAGGTGAAGAAGCTCAACTCATTGGCGAGACTTCACGAATGTGGTCCGTTTTTCGACGTTATCAAGAAAATAAAAAAGAGAATAAATAAAGCTAGTTTTGTAAGTGGAAAACTATTTTGAAGCGCTAGAACATTGAAATATGGGTAAAACATCCTATTTTCAGTATTTTTTAATAAAAATTCGTAGAGTTTTTCGTAGAGAATAACAAGAATAAAAGTCTCGTTTATTTATATTTTCGATAACTTTGATTTTTTTCAGCCCAACAATTCGCGGAACGCATGGGCCGTCTATCGTCGACGCGCGAGCTCATCGAGAAGGAGATCAGCTCGAATCGCGAAAACTTTGACTACATCCACTCGATGGCCAAGAAGGAGATCACCAGCCTCGTCACGAAGGTCGTCTTTAAAACTTTAAACGAAACAACTGTCGTTTTTTTGAATTTTGTTTCGTTTTTTTTTGTTTGGACGGAAATAAGCGATTTTTGGCCTAAAATCGATATTTTTGGTCTTTTTGTAAAGTTTTTACGTTTATGAATTGTAAAAAAAACAGTTTAGAAACATGTTTTGGGCGCTTTCGCATTATCGGGGGGAGCAATTTTTTCTTAGGGTCTTATTTTTCAAATGTAAATGGTGGAAGTGTTTCGAAGCGGTTGTTTTTCGTGTTCTTTTTAGTTGCTAAACGTGAAAACTAGCAAAAATATCGATTTTTCGGGCAAAATTTCGACTTTTTAAGCATTTTTTTAATTTTTAGATAGTTTTGCTAATTGAAATGTAGTTTATGTTACTAAAAACTCTATCAAAATCTTTTCAATGAAGTTGCTAGGCATTTCTAGACTTATAAAACTCGTTTTTAGATCGAAAAAATGGAGGCGCGTCTCGACAAGGCCGGAAAATAGACCTCTGCCGCCCGTGCAATTTCACTCTGCCCCTGCCCGTGTAATGATTTTTCGAATTCTGTTTTTGCTGTGTTGTTTCGTGTTTGTTTGTGTGTGATACTCTTTCCCTGCACTTCCCGATTCTAGAACGTATAATTCATGCTAGGCGGCTGATTTTGCTCTCGCATAATTTGACCAAATTTCTGTGCCGTCACACGCTGTGCCTATTCCCCCCTCGCATCATCTTTTTGGGCTTTTCGTGCTGCCGGTATAAATATGGAATTAGGAATCGTGCTTTACGTCATTTCAATAAAAGATTTTTCACGTTTTAAACTGAATCCTCATACGATTTCTCAAAAATTGGACCCGTCAAAGCTCAACTGGTTCTTTTTCATTTACGGGGGGCGGGGCTTAGTATCTATTTTCTATAATGAATAAGTAGGCTTTTCTTTCTTTGCTAAGATCAATGTTTTTCTAAGATTTTTGATGGAAATTTTGAAAATTTTGAGCTTTTTTTCAGTTTCTAAATCGTCTTTTTCTGTCTAGGAAATCTTTAGGAATCAATCAACAGCATTTTTGACGCGACGCTGAATTTTCATGAGTTTTTTTCAGCCGATTTTCCGGTACTGTCAAAGTTAAACTGCCAAAAAGCTTTTTATCCAGGTTTTTTACCGCGCTTGTGTGAGGCGTATCGCATCTTGGCAGCGGTCTACATAGAAGCGCCGATCGCACTGCTTCGGGTCGTCGACGCAACATTCACGGAAGAACGGCACTGGCCAGCGGCCATCACGACGGTAGAAATCGTCGCAGTACTGAAACCGAGTAATTTTAGGTTCTTTGGCATTATCAGGGGGACGTATAAGCGAGAAACCTATTTTTCCCCTGTAATTTCAGCATTACGTTTTTGATTATAAGCTTTTAATATGTTTTTACCATATTTCGGGAAAATTTGCTTTTATGGTGAAAGTCAGATTCAGTGAAAAAAATGCGCCGGAAAGAAGGATTTAATGGCTAAAACGCTTATTTTGCTAAAAATTCGAGGACCGTAAAAGGGGGTACGGGGGTATGTCGTTTATGGTCCTCACCTGAAAAGTGTTTTTTCTTTTACCAAATCCATAGATAATTGTTGGAAATTCATAATGCTTCGAAAAAAAGTGCCAGAAAGATGTTCGTGGTCGCCCTAGGCTTTTGAACAAGGTGCGGCACGTAGCATTGTCAGGCAAGGCGGGCCGTCGCTTCGGATGGGCTGCCGCTCCACTCTTTCGAAATCAGGGCGCCTGGGCGCTGCGCGCTGCTCGGGCGCCCCGATTTCGAAACCCTGTACGAGCTCGCACCCATCCGAAGCGACTAGGCCCCGGCCCCCGTAACAAACCCAAATTTCGGGGGGGGGGGCGACCCCAAAAATTTTTCACTAATATGACTAAAAATACAGCGCCGCAGGCAAAATTTTTGAAAACATAGGGTTTATAACACTAAAACTAGTGTTAAAAATAGCCAAAAACAGCGCCGCAGGCAAAAAATTTTTTGGAAAAATTAAATCATAAGGGTCCCCCCTTATGAACTTTTCGGCCTTCGGCCGATTTCGGGGGGGGCGGCTCGCCCCCCTCGCCCCCCCCCCCCCCTCTTACGGGCCTGCCCGGGTGGCACGAAGCCTTATTTTTAGGCTAAAACTGGGCTGAATGAATTTTTGTACCAAAATAATTTTTGCAGCTAAAAAGGTCTTTCCGGCGCTTTTTTTGAACGGCAAACGATTATTTGAACATTTCTGGATTGTTTCCGACAAGAAAAAATGGATTTTAGCCGAGGACCGTAAACGACATACCCCCGTACCCCCTTTTATGGTCCTCGAATTTTAGCAAAAAAGGTCTTTTTAGTCCTTAAAAACTTTGTTCCGGCGCATTTTTTTTTTACTGAATACTACATTTTGTTCATTGCTAGATCGATTCCGACCCGAAAAAACACTTTTTGGGCGAGGACCATAAAGGTAAATCAAGCCCATATTTCAAGTAGAACTACTATCGAAAGACCTTTCGAACTTTTAGAAAAGTCGAATTTTTGTCAAAAAAGGATAATTTGCATTTCAATGAAAAAGATTTCGAAAGTTTTCACGTAGGTAGCGTAAAAACAATGTACATTTGGGTTTTATAGGTTGTTTTTCAGCTATAATGCCACATAGCTAACCTCATTTAACCGCGTCACCACGTGATATGCGCAATCGTCGAGATCCTCCGCTTCTCCAGCGTCGGAAAAATGATGAAAAGAAAGTAGAAAGAATACGAATAACTTTAGTTTTCCCGTCATACGGTGAATATTTTTAGTGCACCGCCGAAGACTGAAGTATCGCCAGGGGGCCATTCGAACAGCCGGGAATATCAATTAGACCGCGTCGAGCTCAATATGGATTTCTCCAGTTTTCAAACCTACTAGGTGGCCCCAGAAACGACCTGGCGGTCTGGAAGAAGCCAAGATCGGCTTGCTTTTTAACCAACTTTTGACCGACCTTTTCTCGGCGCTAGCTTGGAATTTTTTCATAATTGGCGGATGCATTTTTACATTGTTTTTAACTACACCTGCGCATAAAAACTTTACAAATTTTAATGACAACTTTAATTTTGGTCGATAATTTGAAGTTTTCGCACTAAAATGACCAAATGTTCTACTTCAAGCATTTGCTAACTTGTTTAAAAAGCGGTTTTGCTTTGAATATAGTTGAAATGTGCTAAAAACAACATAAAAATACTTGAAATCCGATTACTAGGCCAAGCCGACTGCCAGGAAAAAATGGTGTTTTGGGACATCATGTTTTGGGCGAAATTTTACAGGGGTTTTCATTGCTCCGCTCCCGACATTATTGGCTTTCACCAACTTTTAGGTCCGAAAAAGGAGCACGGGTGCGATTTTTAGAGGTGAAACCCGACACGAATTCCCCCCATTCTGAGAACCGGTTGATTTTATCCGCTCTGCCGGTCTGTGTATTTTTCGCAACAGACGTAGCGGCGTGGGAGTGTATGGAAGAAGCCGAGTTGCGTGTGGGCTTCGTTGTTAATTTATTTACACCCGTATCCGTCTAAAAAGGGCACATCACAGGGCATGACGATTGTCAAGGGATAGGTTCCTTAACGGGGGGGACCAACAAATTTTACCATACACGGTCTCGTCGTTCCTAAGGAACAAAATTCGAAAAAGAAAATGAGCAAAAGATCCCGGTTTTTTCAAGCCCACATCCGGTTGAAGACTATAAAATAGTGGTCGGTGTGCGGGACGACCTTTCCGCGGATTGTTGGCCGGACGGCGGTGTGGAATTCGGCCAGCCGGCTGGAATTTGCGTTTTTCTCCGGAAGAGGCTAACCGACCTCTTTTTCATCCTGGAAATGGCGGCCACGTAGAAGAGGGGGCAGATGAAGGTATAGTAGGGGTAGAACTGAAATGAAACATGGTAATAGACTGTATAGAAACGCTGGAATCGACCCACTGTAACGACTAGGTTTCGACAACTACGCGATACGCCAAATGATGCGTGTAAGCAGCAGAATTAATTTTATAGGTCTCTTATTTTGATAGATTTGATTTCTTCATTAAAATATCTTTAAAAGTATATAAATAGATCAATTTAAATAGCTGAAAATTGATAGGTTAGGTAAAAAGATTGAGAAAGCGCTTCGGTTAACTTAAACGCAAATTTTGGCGCGTTTCAAATTTGTCGAGACCCAGTATCAGCAAGGTGGATTCTCGCACTCCCTCCTAGCCCCCTTTAGAGGGTCTGCTCAGTTGTTCAATAGTTTTAAAGACTACCAGAACAATGGAACGCGCACTGTCACCCCGAGGGTGCTGCCCCCAAGAACGCGCGGAGAGATGCGTCATTAGTGGTGCCCCGTACTGGGCAAAGGCCCTCTGGGGTTTGGGGCGTCTCTGACTCCCTTCCCCACTTTGCCCTGTGGTGTAGTGGCTAGCACGTCGGCCTGTGGAGCGAACCATCGCGGGTTCGACTCCCGCCCGGTGCGCAACTTTCTTGCTCTCAACGGAATTTCATCGTTCTGACGGTCTTTAAGAGCTTGAATGGATGTCTAAGGGATACTTGCCAAAACGTATGGCCTCAACTTACATTAACAAGTCCTTGAGCCGTTTTCCTCGACACGTAGTCGATATCGGGAAAGTAGGACCGGATGGATATCGATAGGAGGTTGTATAGCACGATTGTGCTTGAGTGGAACAATATGACGGGCGATAGAGCGTAGAGGCACATCAGAATTTATAGCTCTCTCTGTCTCACTATCACTCTCTTTCTCTCTCTCTCTCGCTCTCTCTCTCTGTCTCTCTCCATCTGTCTTTCTCTCTCTCTGTCTCTATCTCTTGCGTGCTCTCACCCTCTCTCTCTCACTCTCTCTCTATCTAGCTCTCTCCCTCTCCCTCCCTCGCTCTCTCTCCCTCTCGCTCACACACACTCTCACTCGCTTTCGCTCTGTTTCTGTCTCTCTCGCTCTGTTTCTCTCTCTCTCTCTATCTGCCTCTATCACTCGCTGGCTCGCACTCTCTCTCTCGCTCTCTTTCGTCACCCACCTGTGTGTACCGTAACTGAAAGCCAGTCTCCAATTTCGTAGATGCTTCCCTTAAATCATAGTTATTCCAATGTATCCGAAGTCTCACCTGTCTCTTATCGTTTTGTCACAATACCGTATCAACCACAAATCCGCAACCACCGTCGCCAGATCGACGGCGATCCCAGCGAAGGAGAAAGCATTCGCCAAGGGGATCATCGCCTAGAAATTGGCATTTTCGAGGAATTTCCCCGTTTTCTCTAGAGCCGCAGAAACGTACAGGGGTGTCCTCCGTGCAGTTCAGGACGTAGACAAACTCCTCCTCTTGCGTGATGACACAAATAACGATAAGGATCGCGTTGAGCAACAGCTAGAAATCCGGAAATTTTGTCAACTTTAATCTGAATTTTGGTGCATATAGAATAGCGGGGGGGGGGGGAGATTACTTCAGGCTGGCCCAATAAAAAACCCTCTAACTCGGAGCAGAAATATTCGGAATCATGGTTACTTCATTCGAAAGACCGTCAAACGGCCAGTTTGCGACAATCTTAAAAAGCATGTTTTTATTTAAAACCGCCATATTACAAGCCATTTTGTAACATTCGGCGGGTTTTCGGGGTTGCAAAACGACTAGAAATGACCTTTGATTAGATACAGAGACCGTTCGTTAATGTTTTTAAATGTATCGCAAAATAGAAGATAAAAACACGGTTTCGAAGATTGTTGCAAACTCGCCGTTTCAAGGGCTTTCGAATGTGTAACTATGATTCCGATCCGATACTTCTGCTGGGAGTTAGAGGGGCGCTTTTTATTAGGACATCTAGCATGGTAACAGCATTAGTATGTTTTAGTGCATAAACCTCAACGATACAGACTGTGAATTAGTATTAAACCCACCGAACCCACTTGCAAAATGACGAAAAACGCGGTGGAATGGGTCTGCATCCAGAGGAGACGACTTTTCGCATGGACGATGGCCAGCCCGCGCTCGGCTACCATTGAAAGGAAGAGGCAGGAGAGGGAGAAGGAAAGGCACATCTGAAACTGTCGATGTTGCTGAGAGAGAAATAGAAAGAGAAAGAGAGAGAGCGAGAGAGTGAGAGTGAGAGAAAGCGAGAGTGAGAGAGAGAGAGAGAGTGAGAGCGAGCGCGAGTGAGTGAGAGAACGAAAGAGAGATACGAGAGTGAAAGAGAGAGAGGGAGAGAGCAAGAAAGAAAGAGAGAGCGAGAGAGAAGAGACAAAGTGAGAGAGAGAAACATCAGCCTACATGAGTTATTTTGAAGGGCAGACATCCGGGCGAGGTAAAAACGTATTGGCAGGGATCTCGATTTTCATAGAGCCTCCGCAGAAGAAATGGATAACCCTGAAAAAATACCACAAATATCTTAGGGTTTTTTTGTGTTTGTGTTTTTTTGATTATGCAAGGCTTTATGGAAAAAAATTCCGAAAAACTCACATTAATGCATAAATTATTAACGGCGTAGAGGAAGAGGATGATCACTTTGAAAGTGACGAGGCCCTAGACGAATAAAAAAAATGAGCTGATAAAATCCGGCCTACGTTGCTCTCCCCATAAATCCAAAACTTCCGGCGAATCGTGTAGACGGCGATTAGACCCAAGGAGGAAACGGCGAAGGCGGATTTTACCGAAAAAAAAGTTGATTTTTAAACTTCACGAAAGATGATACTTACTGCATTTTGTATCGAATACACCGAGAAATTGGACAGCTCGCCGGCTGCCTGGCAGTAAGATTCCATACGAGCCTCGCGGAGAGCTGGAATAGAAGAGAATCGGGCTCTAAAAACGGGCAGTAAAGATACAGAATTTTAATAAAATTTGCGCACTAAATGATTTCGCAAAATATTTTAAAATATATTTATGGACAGCTGCAAAGAAATAAAAACGTGAAGGACATTGTAAGAAAGAGGAAAAATCCCAAAACATAAAAATCAGGATAGAAAAAGGTTGAATGAAAAATCCGTGCAGGCTTTTCCCCCCATTCGGCGCGTTCACAATTGGCACTTGCTGCCAAAACGACTTGCGCTAATCGGAGCCGACAAAATAGAATCCTAGCCGAAAAAACCCACAATTTTACAATTATGGCGATGTATAATTTACTAGTTCGTAACATTACATTTTGACGCAGTGGATTTGCACTTGTTACGTCAATGTAAACCCTGTAGGAAAGGCAAACGGTGGCGGGAGATACCGTAAACCAAAAAAAAGCGCATTGATTCAGCATAGAATTATGCGTCTCCGGGGAACCGGCTTGGCACCGGATTTTACATTTTTTATTAACAATTACTTATCTAAAAATAGCAGTATGCTTTAAAATTGTAGTCAGCATAAAATTTCGTGGCCGGCGGCCAGGAATTTTTCGAATAATAGAAAAATAGTTTCTAAATCGTTTAGATCGGACCGAATTGGCATAACAAACTACAGCCAACAAAAGATTCCCAAGCTCCCGAAACGCAATTTTTATAATTTTCAAAATGCTCAGAGAAATTGAAGAAAGCCAGTTTTTTCGATTTTCGAAACGCTACCCGTGGGGTCCTGGGGGGAAGGGGGCAATAAAAATTCGGGTGAGAATGAGAAAATTCGTCTACCAATCAACAATACGGCGTATCCCACACGCCATAGGCAGACTCGCGAGAATATCCGGGACAAAGCTTTCAAATTGGAAAGTACGAACCAAAAGTTTGTACCTAAAAAAAGCTCAGGAAAAGGTCAATCAGAAAGAAACCTTGAAAAATGCAACGTAAAACGTAATTGAAAACTGAAAAATAGTAAATAAATGATTTTCATTTTATAATGGCAATTTTATACATCATTATTAGTCGATTAACTACAAAACGTGAAAGAACTTTGCTAAACGAATTGCAAAATTTCACAAAATTACAATTACAAAGACTTACAAAATCCATTTTGATCGTTTGGAATGACGAATTCAGTAATCCCTCGAAAAATTCTGAGAAGCTGTTAGCTCCAAATCGCACCAAATGAAACACTAAAGAACATTTTTAGAAGTACCGGCTAGGTTTCTGAAATTGAAATTGCTGTGCGAATGGCTGGCCGAAGCCGAGAGTTCAAACCAAAACCCGGTAAAAATAGCGTCCGGTGGGAATACGGTAATTTAACGATTTTTGTAGCCGAGTTTAGGTAATTTTGAGAGGATCAGAGACCGGATTCACCTGCAGCTGGACATCTCAAAAAATGAAAAGGCTGTTGCGCGGGAAGACACGCGTCATTTAGAACTTTGCGTAGCTGCTCGGCGAGGCCGATTTTGACGCTTCCTAATCCCTTTAAAGTAATACACAAAAGAGCTGTAGATTCCAGGAAATTGCCTAAAATCTTGGCCGAAAGGCGAACGAGAATTCTGAGTTTAGGCCGAATTTAAGGGACTAGGAAGCCGGAGAATCAACACCAAATTCCGACTAAGTCTAGACAGCTACACGCTGTTCCAAAAGACGCGTCCAGTCTTTTTTTAGCGACTTTTTCGGCCGACATTTTGGTAGAAATTGACCTGCTGGAACGTGTAATTTGTAGTATTTCGTACCTGTCGAGACCCAGTAGGACGCAGGGGACATATTTTTAGAGCTTCCTGGTGCCTTTAAGATAAAATGCCAAAAGCAACACATCACAGGAAATTAATTTACAGGTAAGAAATTACAGATATTGCAGTATTTTGTAGCTGCCGAGACCTAGTAATAGGCAGGGGTCGAATGGCGTTTCCTGGCCCCTTTAAACCCATTTTTTGGCGAATCAAAACACATTTTAGTTTCTAAAACGTATATAGGTGAATAAAACAAAGATTTCAGCTTAATTAACATCTGCCCCATACCCAAGGCTGGCCACGAGATTTACGATTTTCGGCCTGGCCACCCGGTCCAGCTGTGTACTTTTTGCGTGCTGGGGAAGGCTAGAAAAAGCACAGTCATGATTGGATTGGATTCGATGAAGCCGACGCCCAATAATTGCTAGGCATAGGAACTGGCAATTAAAGGGGCCCTGCAAATGGGCGGATAAATCACCGAAACATGACGCGGGTATCGGCAAAAACGTTGCTTTTTGCTCAATGAATTTTTGTTTTCGATCCATTCATTGCCTTAGAGGGTAATTTTTTAACTAATTTAATTTGGTGACTGCTAGTTTAAAGGGACGAACTAGGTAAATGGCTCTATTTAGCCGCCTGGCCATACGCAACGGGTTCGCATAGCACGGTCGTCCAAAGAAACCGTAATCGATTACGCTATCAAATGGCAGGACGCGTTGCGTGTCGCGGCGCGGAAAAATGGAACATTGCATAACGAGTGTCAAGTCGAGAAAAAATGGAAAAATGGAGCATGCAACGCAACGGCCGTGCGCCGCTGATTATTCAAAATCAAAAAATCAGAAAACACGGTGTGTCGCGGCCTGGCAAAATTCACCCAGAATCCAACGTAATTTTGCGATGGTTTTGGCTGCGCGAGCAACATGCCACGCGCCCGCAACGCCGCGGTAAAAGGACAGTAATCGCTTACGCCCTCAAAAGAAGAGGGGGCGTTGCCTGTTGTGGCGTGGAAAAACCGGAAAAATGGACAATTTCATAGCGGCCTGCGCCACAGAGCGGGCCATGGATCGTGCGAAAGTAAAAAAAAGTCTAAAATCCGTGCGCGTCGCGTGTCGCGGCGTGAGAAAATTTAGAGGACGTTGACGGCTTCTGTCAAGTTTTGAACCCACCCGCGACTCGCGATGCGACGCGACGCGACGCGACGACCCAACTAATTTAGGCGACGAGGCACGATCTTCGAAACTCTATAGTTACAGAATCAATTACGGAACGAAAAGGCTGGCGTTGCGTGTCGCGGGCTGGGATTATCCACCAAACTTCAGATTCCCTTTAAAGGAACATCAAAGACAAACAGCCGCTAAATTTGCTTTTAGGTGAAGTGTTAAGAGGAGCTCAGTGTAGCATCTATTTTTTCAAACAAAAAACCCCAGCACTTCTACCGCGTGACTTATTAATCCAGTTAAAACTTGATTTCTGATGTCGAGGTCCCAAAAATATGTGGAATCCGGTGGGAGGCCGGGAGAGGCCAAAACTTGGGGCCCCCAATTTGCCTGGGAGGGCACAAAATTAAGACCCCCATTTACAGACATCAAATCGAAAACACGGTGCGGTGAATTGGGACGTGCAATCGGTAATTTAGAAAATGGGAATCGGGAGGCCTATTATTAGAGAGAGAAAGAAAGAGAGAGAGACAAATCACTGTCATTTTAAAGGAATGGACAAGGAATGATTGTGGATTCCCGGAAAATGTACGTCTTGAAGAGACTATGAAGTCAAAACGACTGTTTCGGGAATTGGGCCTATTTTTCCAAAAAAGCAAGGGGTGCAGTCTAAAGCTCTAGAAAAACCTAATTTTGTCACCAAAAACGAAATATTTGCGGAAACAAAACATTTTAGGCGCCTAGATCCCTCTATTGCCCAATCTCTGTCTCTCTCACTCACTCGCTCGCTATCCCGCACACTCCTTCGCTTTCACGCTCTCTCTACCTCTCTCGCTCTCTCTCTCACTCTCTCTGTCTCTCTCTCACTCTCTCGCTCTCTCTCGCCCTCTTCCGCTATCTCTCTATTTCTCTCTCTCTCTCTCTCTCTCTCTCTCTCTCTCTCCTCTCTCTTTTAAGCGACTCACATTTTGTTATGCAAGTTCAGCTGAGTTTAAACTCGAGATTTCGGACCCTAACGCCCAATCCCTGGATGCTGATGGTTGATGTGGTTGTTGTGATGTGAAATCTCGACTTTCCAGGTGCGCATTTCCCGTGGGCTGACGGTGGGGATCGTAAATGGGATGGTGGCGTAGAGGGGCGGAGGGATCGTTTCAGGGCTTGACACGGACCATAAATGGGAAGGGCGGCAAGGGTCACGAGGGGGATATAAGGGCCATTTCAGCCAAGTTCGCCTCTCGAATCACCACCGCCAACCGGTCGCTCTGATCAATTCAGCAATTTTGTGTTTTTGTGTTCTACTATTTAGTTCTTAAAGGGGCGGATAAGGCAACACTATGGATTTTGTTAACTTATACAGGGTGCCACAATCAAAAAGGTCACGCTGTCACTTTCCCGTTTCAAATCCCATCGACTTGAAATTTTCAGGATGATGAAGGGAGGTTAAAATGTTTGCAGCAACTTTCAGTAGTATCGGTCCAGTAGTTTCTAAGTAGTTTTTTAGTTACGGCAAAAATAAACCTTATTTAACGTTTTTGACCTGGATTCTGACGGGAATTGGGATTTGGAAAGTATAGTGAAAATCAAGGGCCGGCCCTTTTTTCTCCGAGCAAATGCGCACTCACTCTGCGCCCACGTGGGCGCACTCCTTATGCGCCTACGTGGGCGCACTCACTCTGCGCCTACGTGGGCGCACTCCTCATGCGCCTACGTGGGCGCACTCACTTCGCGCCTACGTGGGCGCACTCACTCTGCGCCTACGTGGGCGCACTCACTTCGCGCCTACGTGGGCGCACTCACTCTGCGCCTACGTGGGCGCACTCACTTTGCGCCTACGTGGGCGCACTCACTCTGCGCCTACGTGGGCGCACTCACTCTGCGCCTACGTGGGCGCACTCACTCTGCGCCTACGTGGGCGCACTCACTCTGCGCCTACGTGGGCGCACTCACTCTGCGCCTACGTGGGCGCACTCACTCTGCGCCTACGTGGGCGCACTCACTCTGCGCCTACGTGGGCGCACTCACTTCGCGCCTACGTGGGCGCACTCACTCTGCGCCTACGTGGGCGCACTCACTCTGCGCCTACGTGGGCGCACTCCTCATGCGCCTACGTGGGCGCACTCACTTCGCGCCTACGTGGGCGCACTCACTCTGCGCCTACGTGGGCGCACTCACTTTGCGCCTACGTGGGCGCACTCACTCTGCGCCTACGTGGGCGCACTCACTCTGCGCCTACGTGGGCGCACTCACTCTGCGCCTACGTGGGCGCACTCACTCTGCGCCTACGTGGGCGCACTCACTTCGCGCCTACGTGGGCGCACTCACTCTGCGCCTACGTGGGCGCACTCACTCTGCGCCTACGTGGGCGCACTCCTCATGCGCCTACGTGGGCGCACTCACTTCGCGCCTACGTGGGCGCACTCACTCTGCGCCTACGTGGGCGCACTCACTTTGCGCCTACGTGGGCGCACTCACTCTGCGCCTACGTGGGCGCACTCACTCTGCGCCTACGTGGGCGCACTCACTTCGCGCCTACGTGGGCGCACTCACTCTGCGCCTACGTGGGCGCACTCACTTTGCGCCTACGTGGGCGCACTCACTCTGCGCCTACGTGGGCGCACTCACTCTGCGCCTACGTGGGCGCACTCACTCTGCGCCTACGTGGGCGCACTCACTTCGCGCCTACGTGGGCGCACTCACTCTGCGCCTACGTGGGCGCACTCACTCTGCGCCTACGTGGGCGCACTCCTCATGCGCCTACGTGGGCGCACTCACTTCGCGCCTACGTGGGCGCACTCACTCTGCGCCTACGTGGGCGCACTCACTCTGCGCCTACGTGGGCGCACTCACTCTGCGCCCACGTGGGCGCACGCGTCCGTCTTGCCCACCCCTTTAAAAGCATCATTTCAGGTGCCAACATGCCATGTGGTGTGGAGTCTCTAATACTCTCCGACCCTTTTGACGGATTTCCGGACTACCCATCGAAATGGAGACAAGCGTCGGATGTACCCCATGCTCCGCGACGGCCTGTACCGCTGAATCCCGAGGAGAAAAAGGTGGAAAATACCAGGATGGTTTGCTGAGCCTAAGCATAGCATCCCAAAACTAACGTGCAAAATTGTGGAATTCTGCAAAATCAATCAGTAAAGTTTAGCTGGCCGTGGCGAATGCGCTTCGTTACGTCCCAACGACACACCATGTGCTTCTATCCAAGGTATCAATTTTTAGCGCATATTTAACTGGTTTAGGAATTTGCTGAGGAGCTTGAGACCTACGGCCACATTTATGCTTTTCGTTTCATGCCGGATTTTCCGCTAAAGGTAGGATTTTAGAAAAAAATGGAAACTATGGTATTTCAGGCACCACCGCTACACGAAATTCCTGCAAAATGCAAGCAGGCCGGATCGATCATCTTAATGATTTTGAATAATTTGGACCCGGAGGTGGCCCAGGTGAGAGATAGAGAGCGAGGGAGAGAGAGAGAGTGTGTGAGAGAGCGTGAGAGAGTGAGAGTGAAAGAGAAATCCTTTACTTCAGTTTCCCCAAGAACTCGTGACCTACGGCGGGAACGGTCAGGCCTTTTCGAATTGGATTCAATTTCGTCTCGTAATCGGTTACTTGGCCAAGATGACGGACGAGCAGACACTGGTTCTGTATTCTGGTCAGAGCTTGTAAATTAGAGAACGATAGGGAAATGAAAGAGAGCGAGAGAGAGAAAGAGAGATAGGGAGAGACAGCGCGCGAGAGAATGAGAGCGAGATCGGAAGAGAGAGCTGCTTTTTAGGCCACCCCCTTGGCTTGTTTCCCTCCCATAAAGATGCGCCTCGGGTGACCATCACCAACGGAATGGTAATTGTTGTATACAGTACTATTACAGTATCCGCAGTCATTTCTAAGAAGCATTGTTTGCTATATGGCCATAGCAGTCCCGCGTCGCGCCCATTATCTGACCCATCAACAGTATCCCCTAGATGATCCCAGCCTACTCGACAAAGGCCCTTTACGACAAATACTTTGCGATGGGCGTGACGATGTACGGTCAGATGACGGCCGGCAGTTTTTGCTATATCGGACCGCAGGGAATTGTCCATGGGACTACGGTAATTCGATGTCCAATCTGAAAACTCGGTTTTCTTTCCCAGATTACGGTAATGAACGCCGGACGCAAGTATTTAAACACCGACGACCTGGCTGGGTGGGTACCTTAATATTTGTAGTTCTTTTAAATGGATTTAACGCATTATTTCTAAATTTTTAGGTGAAAATTCAAATGGCATAATTCTAATTTTTCAGGAAGGTCTTCGTCACTGCGGGTCTGGGCGGAATGTCCGGTGCACAGGCAAAGGCTGCAAAAATTGCCGGTTGTGTTGGAGTGATAGCAGAGGTTCTCAGAAAATTTTGGCTGTTTTACGCAAATTTTAGATTTCCGAGAAAGCGCTGAAGAAGCGGTACGACCAGGGGTGGCTTGAGGTATGATTTTTGGGCATTTAAAAGAGATAGTGCCAGCCAGAAAAACTAGAGATCAAAGAGATCAAAAGGGGGAGAGAGAGAGATAGAGCGAGAGAGTGTGCCAGAGAGAAAGGGTGATAGCAAGAACGAGCCTTCACTCTATAGTCGATTTCAGGCATACAGCCGTGATCTTGACGAAGTCGTCCGTCTGATCCACGAAGCTCGAGCTGAAAAGCGGGCCACCTCAATCGGATACCTCGGAAACGTAGTCGATTTGTGGTAGGTAATTGGCACGATAGGTAAAGGGAATACCGTATCCTTAAATGCTGCAAAAACTTGGTCGATTCCTCGTAAAATCCCTAGTAAAACCCAGTTTTCAAGTCTAAAAAAGCGAAACTTTTGAATTTTATCTGGATTTTTAGCTAGTTTTAGGTGCAAATATTTGTAAAAAATGTTTTCGGCGTAATTTCTATGTATTGCTTACGGTTACGGTAGATAACCTATGCTTTTTAGGGAGCGCCTTGCCGCCGAACCAGACCATTTGGTCGACTTGGGATCCGATCAGACGTCATGCCACAACCCGTTCCTTGGCGGGTCAGTTTGAAACGTCCCCGTTTAACGAAATTGATACCTTTAGGTATTACCCAGCGGGAATTTCTTTTGACGAAGCAAACATGATGATGACCGAGAAGCCCGAGCAGTTCAAGGAGCTCGTCAGGGAGAGGTAGTCGACACAGAAAATTCTGCAAAAATCCATTGCTTTGAAAGACTGATGTATAAATCTAGGTCAAGCGAGATAGATATAATTAAATTCTGATTCCTACGGTAAAGAGAGCGGAAAATTACAGTATTACAAAATTTGGAAAAATTACAAAAATTTTCAGCCTCCGCCGCCAAATCGCGGCCATCGACACGTTGGCAAAACGGGGCATGCATTTCTGGGATTACGGTAGGCTGGGCAATTTTTAGATTTATACTGAGTACGTTATTTGTGCGCTATTTTTTGAGAGTAAGTACGTTACTTTCCAGGCAACGCCTTCCTCGTGGAGTGTCAACGCGCTGGGGTGTCGATGTTGAAAGATGGGGCAAGAGATGACAAGGATTTCCGCTACCCGAGTTATTTCCAGGATATCATGGGGTACGGTAGAAAGGGCAGTTTATAGGGGGTTTTCAAGATGTTTGGCTGGAAGCCCTAAAAACCTGGATTAATCGATTTTTAGTGACATCTTCTCGATGGGATTCGGGCCGTTCCGCTGGGTGTGCACTTCCGGAAAACCGGAAGATTTGCGGTAGGAGAGAAAGAAACAGAGAGAGAAAGAGGGAGAGAGAGGGGCGAGAGAGAGAGAGAGTGCGGGAGAGAGAGCGAGAGAGGCTTAAGATAAAAGTGCTTTCTTAGGGAAACTGACCGTATCGCATGCCTGGTGACCGACGAGTTGCTAAAAGGAGATGGTAGGTATTACTGTACGTTTCTCTCTTTCTCTCTTTCCCTCTCTCTCTCTCTCGCTCTCTGCCTTTTTCTCTCTCGCTCTCTCGCTTCTGGGTAATCGAATAATTTGTGCTTGTCCAGCCCCCGAATGGGTCAAACAACAATACATTGACAACCGGAAATGGATAGTGGAGGCGGATGGACATCGACTAGTCGTCGGCACACAAGCCAGAATCTTCTATTCGGATCAGGAGGGCCGGACCGCCCTCGCACTCGCCTTTAACGAAGCCGTCAGGCTGGGCAGGATTTCGGTTGGTCATGTTCTGACTTGATTATTAAACAGGGAGTAACGTAGCGTTGCTGTAATCCTGGCTTTTTTAACCCGTTCCTTTAATTGGATAAAATATTAAAATTACACTTCACGATACCCAGGCCCCGATTGTCATCTCTCGTGATCATCACGACGTGTCGGGCACCGATTCGCCGTTTAGGTCAGAATTTTTTGGCTTTATGATCCATCAAAACCCACCTCGTACCATCCCAATTAAGAGAAACGGCCAACATCACTGACGGGAGTGCTTTTACGGCCGATATGGCCGTGCAAAACGCGATTGGGGATGCCATGAGGTAGAGGTTGAAATTCATTTTTTTGGAAAATCATCACGTAAAGAGGAGCGACGTGGATCTCGCTGCATAATGGCGGTGGTGTCGGATGGGGTGATGTGATCAATGGAGGGTTTGGCATGGTGTTGGATGGTACGGAGGTGAGCGGGATTCAATCCTCACTCTTTCACTCTCTTTCTCTCTCTCTCTCTCTCTCTCTCTCTCTCTCTCTCTCGTTCTCTATCGCTCGCTGCTCGCTCTCTCTCTTTATCTTCTCTCTTTTTCTCTCTTTCTCTGTGGCTCTCTCCCTCGCTACCTCCCGCTCTCTCTCGCACTCTCTCACTCTCTCTCTTCCTCCCTCGCTCTCTCTCTCTCTCTCTCTCTCTCTCTCTCTCTCTCTTTATCTCTCGCTCTCACTTCCTTTCTCTCAATCTTTCTCTCTCAGCGTCTCGAAAAATTTTAATTTCAGGACACGGATCGTCGTGCGAAGGCTATGCTAGCATGGGACGTGTCAAATGGAGTCGCGCGTAGGTCGTGGAGCGGAAATGCCAAGGCTCGTGAGGCCATCCAGCGGTGATTCTTGGATTTCCAGACCCTTTAAGTGTATTTTCTAGCACTCAACAAGCATCCAATGGCCTTGATGTCACTATCCCGAACGTCGTGGATCCGAAGCTGCTTGAGGGATTGTTCTAGACCAAAAGTTCCGCTGTATAATCTGAAAGACTTGATTCCGCTGTATTTCCTGGGTTTAGCTAGTGAATAAAAGCGCCTGAGTGAGCTTACAAAAGTGCGAGCACGAGAGAGAACGCGAGAGAGAGAGAGAGAGAGAGAGAGTGCAAGAGAGACGCACACACAAGAGAGAGGCAGAGAGAAGGCGTTTATATAGAGTTTAATCGTCATATGGAGCGTCGTGTAACTGTCGAGACCTATTCCACAAAAGGGGTCGGATCTAGCGCCTTCTAGTCCCTTTAATAGGCTTCTTCTTCCAATTTCGTCAGCCTAAACCTCTGCTCGTCCAACAGTTCAACAAACGCATTTTTGGGTAAGCTGACCAAAGCGGCACAAATATTTTGATCGGCCCGTGGAAATGGAGCAAAAGCACAGCGGCAGGCTAGCCGCCCCGAAATGATAAGCCCCGAGGAATATTATGCAAATTAGGGTAGTGGGGGTCTGGTCGGCGGCGCCGGGGGCGAGTTCCGTGCATTTTCACACATAGCCTGTATTCTGGACGAATTTCTGCCTTGCTGAAAGTCTGCAAAATTTGAAAATTCGAATCTAAAAATTTTTAAAAGAAATTCTGAAAATGGGAATGCCGGAAAAAGTGAAAAGTTTGGACGATTTTTTGCTGCTTGGCCGTTATGATTTGATGGCGGCGATTATGATCGAGGTTAGTGGTTCAAAAATTTTTTCTAAGAAAATTATTATAAGCTTTATAATTTAAAAATGACAAATTTAATGTAAAATTTTAACCACGAAGCTATCATAGATAATAGAAAATTTTTAGAGCTATAAAATCCACAAACTCTTGTTTTAAAACCTAAAATACTAGCCAAATAAAGATAAAAATTAGTTTAAAATTATCTAGGAATGCGTAACAAAATAAACTAAAATTAAATTAATATTCCGAAAAAACACGGATTCAAACAATTTAGTTGACACAATAATTGCAAAAAATGCAAAAAAAATCGAGCAGTTTTAACACATTTTTAGCTAGCCATGCTCTCCCAGTGCGGCAATTTGATGTTTATGGTTTTTGCGGGTACGAATTTCAATAGTCTACAATTTTTTTGTTGCATACCTTCAATACGGATCTTTTTTAAACTCTAGGCGCCGTTCCATCTTTTACCGGATGCCATAACATGAATACCACCGGGCTATCGGTCGACGATTTATGCACACTATACGAAGCCGGAGAATGCCTTCCAATTACCGAATATCAGTTCTATTCGGCGAATGTTGAGGTAACGAGCTCGTGTCTCACTCTCTCTCGCTCCCTCTCTGTCTCACAATCATCACTTGGCGTCTGTCGACTAGGTCTCGAAAGTTTTGCTTTTATTTCGGTCCAACGCGTAGTTGTCGAGACCTAGTCACCAAGGGGGGTCGATTCTCCCCGATTCTCAGGCTTTTACTCCGTTGCGCTCTCTCCCCCCGCTCTCTCTCTCTCTCGCTTTCTCTCTCGCATTACTACTATTTCGCGTTTAGGCTTTTTGTCGAGACCTAGTTACTCGAGGGTCGATTCCTCGATTCCTTTGATTCTCTGCCCCCTTAATCCGTTCTTCCAGTTCGGTCTCCTCTGCAGCGACACGAAGGAATTGAAGGACAGTACATCGTATCAAATGATTGGCTATCTGGTCGGATCGTTGATATGGGGACAGATATCCGATGTTTTCGGCAGGAGACGGGTGGGTGCATTAATGGATGGTTGAGGTATCGATCGATAAAGAGAAGAGAGAGAGAGAGGGAGAGAGAGAGAGAGAGAGGGAAAAATAAGTTGAGCATAACCCTCAAAAACGAAATTTTTCTAGCCAATGCTCGTATGCCTCCTAGTCAACGGAATCCTGGGTCTTGCTACTTGCCTGGTCCCAACACTCGGCGCTCTCACCTTTGTTCGAACGGCTTTAGCTTTCTTCTTCACCGGCCATGTTGTGTAAGTAAAAACTGGCATGTAATGACCGTAGATTTACCTTTGTAGTATCGTTTTTGTGCTCTTCTGCGAGACATTCCCCTCGAAACACCGTCTCTGGCTGGCCTTCGTACTCAACTGGTCCCCGAATTATGCTGTCGTGGCTGTTATTGGTTCGTTAGACGAAAATTTTTGATTTTTAAAGACACCAGCAAATGGCAGGGGTAGGTGCTAGCTCATAGGGCGTGCTAGCAGAGGCTTTTTTAAAAAAACGTAGCCCTTAATTCATCAAATTTCGAATTTTCAGCTTGGCTCTGCGGCACGTGGCGTCTATTTTCGCTAGTCATTAATTCGCTGTGCTTCCCAGCCGCGATTATTCTTTGGTAACCTAAAAATTATAAATAAATTAATGTTGACCAGGGTTGAAAAGCCGCTTCGCGACTTTTCAACCCTGGCCCCGTCTAGGCCCCATGATGGCCCTACTTTGCATAATCACACCCGCCTGCCCCGAACAAAAAAAATGAAAATCACTCGCCCTCTCGTCTTTATATAGGCTCTCTTTACTTCCGGCGTATGCAAATTGATCCCTAACAAAGAGGCCGAGCGAGATTTTGACAAAAACCTATTTTTAATGTCGAAAACAGCTGATTTTGAAAAATCTGATAGGTGTGCAGTCGTGTCATGACCATTGCGCACCTAATGACGTATCATACGTACCCCTAACTTTCTCCCCTATTGAGATACGACTGGAACATACGGACGGAAATTGCATGCAAATGCACACACACACACACACACACACACACACAAACACTATTTTTTTATATATAGTAGGATTAAAATAATTATATTCTATTTAGGTTCATGTGCGAGACGCCACATTGGCTCCTAAGACGCGGAGTCTTTGCCAAGGCCCATGAAGCCGTGCAGAAAATTTACAAGGTAAATCGATGCGAATTCACGACGGTTTTTAGTTCAATGGCCACGAGCTGGATGGGAATGCTTTGTACGAGGTCCTGGACCACGAGAAGAAGCACTTTTTGGTTAGTCACGTTTTTAGACCGTAAAGCCCTCTTATTTTTCAGACAATCCCCCACCAAACCTATTCCCTGCCACATCTCTTTTGCACAAAGAGACTCGCCGGGTATACCATCGCGATTTTCACAAGTTTGTAAGTTACCTTATAACTTAAAGCGCACGTTCAGGGAGGGGCCGTGTACTCGCCCCAACGTGTACACCCTATGGACGTAGGGACCGCGCGCACTGCCTGCCCGTGCTGTGACAGGCCATTCCCCTCCTTTGCGGCGTGGGGCGCCCCTCACCCCCTTGCCAGGTTGTAGCTGTGGCTGACTGGTATCCATCCGCGCCTCCCGAGCTGGGGGCCCGGGTTCGACCCCCGGCTGCGGCAAAAATCTTTGCTTTTTCCAAAAAAAAACGTCCCTGAACGTGCCCTTTAAAGGGATACCCAAGGTTTTGGCGGCAAATATATAGTTATGGATTCCGGGCAGTACAAATGACGCTCGAATTTTGTGCGGTAATGGGCCCCCAATGCCGCACAGAATTCGGCCACCTTTCCCTCTTTTGGCGTCCCCATCCCGCCTAATGGCTTGCCACTATGGCCTAATGGATAGCATCCAGGCCTACAAAACGGGGGTCCCGGGTTCGACCCCCGCCCGCGTTTTTGAGCCGCGAAAAGGTTGGGCATCCCTTTAAGTGCTAATTTTTATATTTCAGTCTAATGGCGTCCATGGTGAATTATTCACTGCTCTTTAACATGGAGGAAATGGCCGGGTCGATCTATGTCAACACCTTTTTCATGGGCTTCTTCCGGCTCGTGCTCAATCTGATCTCGGCCTTTGTTGATTTTCGGTGCGAGAAGCTCGGCAGGAAGGTGGGACAGACGCAAACTACACGCCACGCTTTCCATGGCGTAATGGAATAACATAATACGCTCTTCAACGCAAAAAATTTAGAAATCGATATGGAGTCCATTGCTGAAAACCAATAGACCTGCATTCTCCGCGCTTTTAAACAATTTCAGACTTTTGCATAAAATTTTTTCAAGCCTTTTAGACAGAGCACAACTTCTACTGCCTATACGCATTAATCGCTTTTGGCCTGGCGATAGGAGCGGAAGCTATCGGAATCTCCTCCACCTCATCTTCGGCTCTCCGCTATATTCTGCTATCCACGGCGTCGATGGTGTGTCAACTGTATGCTGTCGTTGGCGTGGTTTGCAATGAGGTGAGAGAGAGATAAAGAGCGAGAGCGAGAGCGAGAGTAAGAGTGTGAGAGAGAGAGAGAGAGAGAGAGAGAATGCGAACAACATCTTTTTAGGTGTTCCCAACCCCAATCCGAAACGTAGCTTTTGCCATGACGCAGTTGAGCGAAGCAGTCGCCTCCATTGCCGCACCACAAGTGTTCCAACTGGTGATTTTCGCTAATTTCTACCGGTTTTAAAGGGACCGGAAAGTGCCAGTTCGACCCCCTTACGTTGGCTAGGTCCCGACAATTACGCAGCACCCCGAAAAATATGCGTTTTTCGACCTCTTCGGGCTGCTGGGTATCGACCAGTTGCGTCAGTACGCTAGGTTACGCTACGTTCTGCGTTACGTCAGAAAGTTGGATCTAGCCCGGCGTTTTGGGCAGTTTCAATTCCCATGTTTTCTTTTTTTTAGCATGAGAAAGCGCCAAAATCGTCCCTTTTCCTTGACAAGGTCACGACAGCTACGGTCACCTAGTAGAGAGACGAGGTCGATTCTCACGATTTACTGGCCCTTTAAAACTAGAACATTGGGTTTTGCAATGAATTTTTGCTGTTCGCAAACGATCGCTCTGTTTTGCAGACAGTATTTGGTGAATGGGTCCCGCATGCCGTGATGGTCACGCTGATCATCGCCGACCTGATCTTTTTCCGGTATTTTGTGCCGGAAAGCCGGGGGAAACCGTTGGCAGAGGATATGCCGCTGGAGGAGGAGAGGCTCGGAGTTTTTAGGTGTGTAAACAATTTTCAAAAGCCGTAGAAAATTTAGAAGTGACTTATATTTTTTTCTAATAATTTTTATCCATCAATTTTGTTCAGGAAAACCTTCCACTTGGACTGGCACCAGCTACAGCACCTCCATTTGCATCAGGAATCTGAGGAAAAGAGGAAGGCATTTGAGAGGGACGTGCTCAGGGCTACTTTATAATATTTACTTTGTTTTATTCGATTTTAATAGAATAAAGTATTTACAAGCGTAGCTCGAGCTCAGAATGTGTTTTTTTCAGCTCATTTCCGAAGAAAATCCTCTTGCGAAACACGCGCAAATGATAAGCGGCTGGTCTCGCTATCGGCTTATGCCCGGAAAAACGTGCTGGAATCGGAATGAGTCATTGAGGGAAAAGAGGGAAGGGTTGCGAAATAGCCCCCTGACGGCTGTCAGCTCGTTTCGAGGCGGAAAGCATTTAAAAGGGCGATGAACTCCCCGGAAAAACATCTTTTGTCTATTGGCTATCCAATTACGCCATGTAATTCAGATATTCTGGGATTTTTGGGTGGCAATTTCAATGATTATACTAATTTTCATATCAGCTGATCAATTCTGGGGCCGATTGAATTGAAGGCGGCCAAATTCGAGAGGCTTTTTTACGCTTCGATTGGCTTAGGCTTAGGCTTAGGTTAGGCTTAGGAATAGCTTAGGATTAGGCTTAGTTTTCGACTTAATCTAGGCTTAGGTTTAACTTAGGCTTCGGTTATGCTTAAGCACACGCCAAGGTCAGGCTTAAGAATAGGCCTACGTTAGGCTTTGGCTTAGGCATAAGCTTAGGCCTAGCTAAGGCTTAGCTTAGGCCTGAGCTACTCGGCTTCGCCTTGACACACGCCTGATAATAGCAATTTCGATGCTATTATGACTCGCATTTTCTGATACATTCGAGCCATGGTCTTTCTCGATGGCACACACAGGTGGTCTAGGGTGAGGCCGAGGAGCCGAGGAGAACTTGTTTTGCGCCCCCTTCAATCCAGCCAACAGCACCATTTCTTTTCTTCTTCTGCTCCTGCTTTTCTCTCTCTCTCTCCCCATCTCTCTCTCGCTCTCTCTCCCTCTCCCCTCCATTCGTCGATAGGAGCTTTCGCAACCCCCGCAGCGTTTCCCCCCAAGTGATACAAAAGCCAGTATTTTTCGCCCCTCCAACCATTCCAGCCAGCTGCTGCATTTCAACAGCGCTTTGTACCTCTACGTGGCTTTAGTGTGGTTTTACTCAGCTTTAAGTTTATCAGTAACAGTCTGGGAATAGTAGCAGCAGGTTTTACCGTCTTTATATTGAGCCATTTAGCTCAACCATCTTGTGTCAATAGGCGTATACGTAGCTATAGAACAGACATGCCTACGACTTTTAATATCTTAAAGTCTTGAATTTTAACCGATTGAAGGACATCTTTTTTCCGCCTGACCACTTGGTTCGGTTTCCTAGTAGCCTCGTCAGTTCCAACTGTCTTGAGGTAGCACACAAAGCAATTTCAAACCACTTTTCCGGTGCTGCGACAAGCAATGCGCACATTTGCATTTCCAGGCGTAACCGATTACTTTTTCATGGATAAAATCGAATTATGGACATGCAAAAAATTTGCAAGTTTGAGAAAAATATTTTTTTTGGAATTAAAATACTTCCTCAGGGTCAGCCAGGTCGTAATGGGCTAGATTCTTTTTGTCGTTTTAATTGTATTTTTTTCACTCAGCTAGCAGCCCCTTTATTATAAAATTTTCAGAATCATGGAAAACGCGAAAGCCGAAGAAGCCGCCGCTCAGATGCCACCCACTTATGAAGCTGCCACCGGTGTCTATCCCACACTTGGTAGGTATAAAAAAATCGTCAAATTGCTCTCTATATCTCTCTTTATCTCGCTCTCCCGCTTGCTCTCTCTCCCCCTTTCTCCGCAAACATTATTGTGCTTTTTCAGCCGATGAAAAGCCGGTGCTCACCGAGAAGACCAACGAAAACGTGGTGAAAAGCGAGGAGAAAGCGGAGAAACCCGTAGAGGGGAAGTGTTGCCTGTCCCGGAGGGAAAAAATTGGCTTCAAATTGTTGAACAGGAAGGAGAAGCTGCAGGAAAAGCTTGACAAGATCAGAAGCATCGGCCAGGAGGTGAGAAAAACTTATGGAGGAATAATTAATCGGAACCGCGATACGAATCGGACGGCTTACGAATCCGTAGCGCGGCAAAATCCACAAAAATTTGATTAAATTTCATTAAAAGATTTTAAAGTAACGAAATAAAAATTGATATGCAATTTTAAACAATTTTTTAATCCCTAAATCATTTCAGCACTCCTCCGAAGCCCCGCTGAAAATCCAGCTTCTCTCCGGGGGCAAGGTTGTCCGCGAATGGGGAGGAGAAGAAGCCCCAGAAGAAGTGAGGGAAGCGCTTGCACGCTCCATCTTCCATCTGGATCGCGCTGAGCAGAAGGCATACCGTAAGAAGGAAAAGGCCGAGAAGAAACACGCTCAAAAGCTTGAGAAGGTGTCGAAGAAACTTGAGAAGGTGGCGCTGGTTGAAGGTGAGGGTTAGCGTCGTCTTAAACCTTTCTCGCAAATTAAAACAATTGTGAATTCAGGGTTTTTTGGGTGCTTTCGCATTATCGGTGGGGACCCCTTTTTCGAAGTATCCAATTTTTTAGATAGACAGAGAGGCAATGTTTTCAAGCTGACTCTTGCTATTCCTAACCCTACAAAGCTTTTACAAATTTTTAGCAAAAATACAAAAACGGTTATTTTTTAACGCAAAATTGCCCGATTTTCGACTTTTCCATAGGTTTTTGAATGTTTGCTAGTTTAAATAGGGTTACATTTTTTAAAGCGCCGATGGTGTAAGAGTTATAATGGAGTTTTTAATAAAACTTGACTATATTTTAAGGGGTAAAACAAGTTTTAAAAACTTAGACGAACTTTTATGATTTTCGTGGTACAACATTCTATGTGAAATTTTCGACAAAATTTGTGAAGTTTTTACGTTTAGCAATGGTAAAAACAATTTAGAAAAATCTCCTTTTCTGATATTAGAAAAATCAGATCCATAGAAGAAAGTTTCTCCCCCCGTTAATGCAAAAGAACCAATATGTCTCGAATCTTTTAGCAAGTTTAAATGAAAAAAATTTAGAGCAAAAATAATTTAGTATCGGGCTAAAAAAATTATGGAAAATCTTCTGAATTAAAATTCCTGCGTTTCAGAAGCCATCATTGAGTCGAAAGCTGCATCCGTCGAAGCTGGGCCGCTACCCGAAAAGCCCGCCTCGGTCGTCGTATTCGCATAATTTCTCTGTACCTAATTGCCATGTGTATATTCTGCATTTTGCTTTAATTTGTTTAATAATTAACATAAATTAATGCGCATTATTTATTTTGTATATCGACATTGGTAAATTCGTTTTGTATATCCATAAAATAATGCATTTTGAGCCGAATTTTGTATATCTGAAATGGTCGCTGGAAAAGGCCTTTGGATGAGTTGAAAAAATGCAAATAAAACTGAAAATATATAAAAAACCGAAAAACATACGGTAACTGCAAAATATAAGTGACGAGATATCGATTAAAACTGAATTTTTTAGGGTCCGGAAAACTGAAAAATTGCAAAAATGGGCAGAAAAACACCCGAAACAAACAATTGCCTAGAAATGTCGAAAAATCGATATAAAAATTATTTAGGAAACTTAAAAACTGGGCAAATGGCCAAAATTTGCCTATCACAATGGGATTTGCATAAAGAAACTTCGAGCGCTTTTTAAAGGAACCAAGAAGGCAAAGACAAACAAATTTGCATTTTTAACATTTTTCAAGTGTTCATTTGCGAATTTTAAGCAAATATACTGTAAAAAGTGACTCAGAAAATTAGAATCCATAGATTTCCGGCTTTCCTAGTCCCTTTAAAACAGCCAGAAAAATTTTAAAGGGACCGAAAAGGCAAAAAAGAACAAAAAATGTGTAAATTTTATTGTATTAAAAATATGCAAATTTACATATCTTGCCTTCCTAGTCCCCTAAATTTAAATAGTTAAAAACACCGGTAGAGCCAAGCGCAATTCCACAGAAAAGTACACGATACAACTAATTGCACATGTAATAAATACAAAATTATACAAACGTAAGATAATATGGATTTAGACAATAGTGGCAGTCTTGGTTTTTCTCGCTCCCTCGGCGCTTTTGTAAAAATCGAGCAGCGCCTCCATGTGGGGATCCTCGCGAACGGCTGGCATTCGGCCGGACGAGCTCACCGGTCTGGAAATAGGCGGTTTTGAAGGGGTATTGACAGATGATTTTGCACGGATTTTCATTGCGTAATTGATTACGTAGTAACAGCACAGCGCGGTCGCGTTGCGTGTCGCGGCGATACGTCGCGGTTGTGTTCTCTATAGAACCGATTGCACGCGGCAAGCAACGCGAGACGCATCGACACGCCAAGCTACACGCAGCGCAACACGAGACGCATCGCGAAGGGACCCCCGACGCGGCGCGTAAAACGTAACGCATACACAGCACGCTACGCCCCGCGACACGCAACGCGCACCGGGATCATTGCGTAACTGGTTATGATCTAGCCAAGGCGAGACGTACGCTTTAAGTATGCAACCGATTGACAGCCTTACTTTAAAGGTACAGCGACAGCTCATCATTTTCGTCATTCACTACACTACGCTCCAAAACACACCTCATAACCCCTTGCGGCTGGAATGGAGGGAAATGGGGGGCCGAATGCGTGTTGGGGAAGCGGTGGGGCTGAAGGATCCTCGGGGCCGCTAGCGGGGATGAGGGTAGCGGTTTCCTGGAATTGGATACGGTAACTGGGGCTTAAAACAAAAAAAGGTATAAAAAGTCTTAAGAAGTCAGAAACTAACGTCGTCTCGTAGCACATTCCTTTAGTGCCGACTGGGAACGTGGTGACACGGTGGGTGGATGGGGAATGATCACGGCTGGGGTTGGAGTGAGGAGGGCCGAGGGCTCGAGACTCGCGCTCACCGGGGGTTGGAGATCCTTCTGGTGGGGTACTGAAAATGGGTAATTAAAGCGGGAAATAGAGGGAGTGAGAGAGAAGGAGAGCGAAGAGAGAGCGAGAGTGAGAGAGAGAGAGAGCTAGCCAATCCCTTACCGATTCCTCAACGTCTTCCGGTCAAGACTGGCTGTGCTAAACCCGGCAGAGCACGAGTGAGACGTTTGCATACTCCTTACGACAGCTGGGGGCGCCGTCATTATCGGAATGGTCTGGAAAAAGTGATTTCTTTTGTGGATCCTGATTTTCTGTATTTTTATAGGTTTATAGCTGACAAAAAACACAATAAATTCTAAATCTAACGTACCCTCTCAACTTGCTTCTCCTTGGTGGGTGTCCAATCAGCGGCAATGATTGGATTCCGATTGCCGCCATGTAGGGAGTGCTCGGATTTGGCGCGCTGTCGGGATATTTGTTGTTCCTGCAAAGCGATAGGGTGTTTAAAGTCAATAGAGAGATGCTAATTATCCCTACCCCCCCCTCTCTCTCTCTCGCTCTCTCTCTCTCTCTCTCTGTCCCTCTCTGTTTCTCTCTACCTCCGACTTTCTCCTGCTCTCAGCCTCACTCTCGCTCGCTCGCTATCTCTCTGTGTCTCTCTCTCAGTGTCTCTCTCTCAGTGTCTCTCTCGGTCTCTCTCTCTCTCTCTCTCTCTCTCTCTCCCTCTCTCTGTCTCTCTCTCTCTCTAACAAACTCACATGCAACGTCGGGTAGTGTGACTGTCGATAGGCAGATTGGTACGGGGCCGCCGATCTGTAGCCGACATTCTCGTAGAGTGGTGGTTGATGAGCTGGGTGCTGATGCTGATGAGGGTTGTAGTGACCATTTTGGTCATTTTGATGATGGTTTGTATGAGGGGAGGGATGGTTCTGGCTGAGAGAAGACTGAGAAGATGAAGGTTGATGGAGGCCTTGCGAGAAGGCTGAGCAAGTTGAAGCCTCCGAGAAGCGGTTCGAGGAGAGGGCTTGACGGCTCGAGGAGGCGACGCTGCAAAAAATTTAGTATAGTAGTCTGCGTAGGTCTCCCACAATCTCTTCTCTTTCTATCTCTCTCTCTCTCTCTCTCGCGTTTTACGTTTTGGGGCGTAGATCCGTTCAAAAATTTACCTGCTTGGTCTCCTCCTTTCCGCACTGGATGGCTGTGTTCCTCTACTCTGCGCATCCACCCTATCGACCTCATCATCGTCAAGTTCATCCCTCAAATCCGGGATACTTCCATGAGGCGTGGTGGGGCAAGATTGGGCTTGCGTACGCTTCGACGCGGGCGTGGTCCAGCCTAAAAAAAGAAGTAGATTTTAGTCACAAACTCCGGGAAAAATGAAAGGTCTAACCGTGCCAAATTTCCGCTACTTTACGCTCCTATGCATCAGGACAAGCCAGGATTATCGATTTGATTACGGTATTGATGATTTTTTTCAACCCTCGACTCACCATTTTGCGACTGCGATAAGTCAGGCTTCGACGCAGAAAATCGCAACTGCGCCAGCTGCAGCTCCATTCCCTTGAGACGAGCGGCAGCTGCCTGTAGATCTTTCACGCGCTTCTTCCGGACGCTCTATAAATTTAAGGTTATAAAGTTATACCATCGTTATCTTTCCTTCAATGGCCCTTTAAAATGGCCAAGCCCTGTACCTTGTTCGTCTTCTGGTCCTTGGCCAGTCGATCGGCGGCGGCGACGATGCGTCGGTGCAGCTCGATGTCATTTTCGAGTTGGGACATCACGTCCGCCTGAAATTAATATGATTGAATTTTCTAATTTACATATTCCACAAATTAAACACTTTTAAATCGCCGTCATAACCGTAGTGCTTTATTTAGCATAAAAATTTACATAATTCAAGTTTTGGGCCCAATTAGCATCTAGAAATTATCGCTTTCCGGGTGTTTTCTCTCTTTTCTCTTTCTTTTTCTCATTTCTCTACTTGTCTTTCTGCAAAGCGATCGATATTCGATAGAAGAATGCCCTCGCCCTCTCCGTCGGCTTGGAAAAAAGACGATGACGTCTCCACGGGTCGTTCGCGTGGGTTTCCAAGCTGTTTTCGGACCAAAAATCAAACTCAAGATGTTCAGCTGATCATCTACCAGCTTGTCCAGCCGATTGAATGCAAATTTGGCTAAATTTGCTTATACGGTCACCTACTCAAAACCCAACTTTTGATATGTCAAAATGCTCAGCAGGACGTGCTGGTGCAAGATCCTTTGAGAAAACTTGGCGGCAAAAGCTCTATCTCAAGATACACGACTTCGAAGTTGGCTAGTGTCGTATCCGGTCACCTACTCAAAACCAAGCTTTTGATATGTCAAAATGCCCAGCAGGACGAGCTGGTGCGAGATCCGTTGAGAAAACTTGGCGGCGAAAGCTCTATCTCGAGTTACACGACTTCGTAGTTCAAGATACTGACTTCGAAAAACCGGTTTCCCTGATCGATAAGATCAAGGACGGTTTTGCGACAGGAGTCACTCAATTTGGAGGGAAAGTAATCGCTACTTCTTCCGCTCTGCGACTAGAAAAAGGCTTCGTGCCACCGGGGGCCTAGTCGCCTCGGATGGGTGCGAGCTCGTACAGGGTTTCGAAATCGGGGCGCCCGAGGCGCGCGTAGCGGCCAGGCGCCCCGATTTCGAAAGAGTGGAGCGGCAGCCCATCCGAAGCGACGGAATGTGTGAAAAAAGTAAATGTGAGTTTAAGAACGTGCTTTTGATCAATTACGTAGGTTTCCGAATTTTCCTTTGGAATTTGTGCTGTTTTTTGGTGCTGTGCGTACTACTGACACACTCAATTTTTCGCCATTTTGGTGCTTTTCTTTTGTGATATCTCGAGATAGAGCTTTCGCCGCCAAGTTTTCTCAGCGGATCTCGCACCAGCTTGTCCTGCTGGGCATTTTGACATATCAAAAGCCTGGTTTTGAGTAGGTGACCGGATACGACACTAGCCAACTTCGAAGTCGTGTATCTTGAGATAGAGCTTTTGCCGCCAAGTTTTCTCAACGGATCTCGCATCAGCTCGTCCTGCTGAGCATTTTGACATATGAAAAGTCGGATTTTGAGTAGGTGACCGTATAAGCAAATTTTCCCGCAAATTTTAGGCAGCGAGCACCTGCCCACGGCGCACGGCCAAAACTCATACGCGCAGCAGCTCGAGCAGCACTTCATCGAGGTGAAGCGGTCGTACGATGGGCTGAAGTGGGTGACGATATCTCTCTCGCGCTTTCCCTCGCTCTCTCTCTCTCACTCACTCTCCATTCTTTTTAGACAACTGAGCCTGATGGACCTGGTGATCGCCATCTTCACTTTTCCCTGGGAGTACACACGCGGACTGTACGAGAAGGCCCAGAAGAGCGGACCGTTGCCCCCGGATTTCGACTATAGCTACGCGTTGGCGTGAGTTTCTCTCTCTCTCTCTCTCTCTCTCTCTCTCTAGGGTTGTTACGGTCCGGACCGAAAAAGTCGGTCCAGTCCGGTCCAACGGAATTTTTTTTGGACCGTTGGACCGTCTGGACCGCCTGGACCGACTTTTTTTTGGACCGTTGGACCGTCTGGACCGTTTGGACCGACTTTTTTTTGGACCGTTGGACCGTCTGGACCGTTTGGACCGACTTTTTTTTGGACCGTTGGACCGTCTGGACCGTTTGGACCGACTTTTTTTGGACCGTTGGACCGTCTGGACCGTTTGGACCGACTTTTTTTTGGACCGTTGGACCGTCTGGACCGTTTGGACCGACTTTTTTTTGGACCGTTGGACCGTCTGGACCGTTTGGACCGAAATTGTTTTGGACCGTTGGACCGTCTGGACCGATTGGACCGACTTTTTTTTGGACCGTCGGACCGACTGGACCGATTGGACCGCTTTTTTTTGGACCGGTTGGACCGGCTCGACCGACTCAAGCTATCCATATAAAACATTTACACAACATTTACAAAATTTAATTAGCCACTTAATGAAAAACGGCTACCCCAGTAAAATTTTACTAAATCTATGCAGTAAAGCTATGAAAAAGCACCCAGGGCTCAGCCTAAAATACGATACTAGTGGAAAAAACTTGATGCACAAATTAAAACTAAAACCTATAATACTTCCATAAATATGTTCTTTCCTTCTCATACTTTAATAGTACCAGTTTATTATATTTTCACACGGGCGCTGCATTTGACAACGCCTGAACTGCAGGATTCCTATTGCGCGCCCCAATGACCGTAACCCACCGCCCTGGGTTTACGCCGCGTAATGGCTCCCAAAGCCCAAAACAAAGGCTGATGCTTGCAAAACATATTTCTTTGTTCGTTTTAATAAATATTTATTGAAAACAAAGTGTATAACAACAATTTCAACAAGGAAAAGCATAATAACTAGGGGTTGAGCTTTCTTTTCGCCGCTTTCGTTTGCATTTGGTGATTCCTCGAGGCCTGGCGAATGGGGACGATTTGTTGCTGGCTAGGCGCAATTGTACGGGAAGTAGACGGCATTGTCAAGCGCAAATTTTCGTCAAGCTCTTTTTGCATACGATCGATGAGCGCCTCATCGTCACATTCGCCAACAGAATACCATAAAGCATTAATGCTCTGATAAAGTAGTGATTTTCTGATCAGCTGAACTTACGTTACGCAGCTTCTGGATCTTTTGCCTCTTGCGATCTTTTTCAGGGGTGGCTTGTAGAGGTGGGATGTCGAAGGCTGTTGGGTCGGTGTGCGATTCTACCTGTGCCGACGTATCGCCCTCGACGTCATCAGCCAGCTGGTCGTTGTTATAGTTGCCAAGGTATCCTAATGAGTTTGTTTTGTTTAGGTAAGCAAATCAACCATGGATGTGTAAGGTATGGATATGAACGCAAGAAACACCCTTGACGGCGGCGCTAAGACAATCGCATAGGAATTGATACGGGCACGCGGCGCATGACAAGCAGTGAGCATTCAATTCCTAGATGTATTGATCTTAGGGAATATGGGAAGTGTATACCTTGCAGTCGCATTCGTCGCTATATACGATGTTGTATATTTGAGGACTATCTTTTGACTTGACGCCCCAGTGGCCTTCGCCGAGAATCACACAGGAGTCGGCTGTGTAGAATTCGGCTGCTCGTTTATGCCGACGCGTGTTCTCTTCCATTCGCTTTGTGGGATTGCGGGTCCTTGCGTCGGTGACGCACAGGTGAGCCAGGTATCTTGGCGGGTAGGCAATCAACTTTTTGCACTAATGCATCAGCCCTGCCCTGCCGCTTCGAATAGACATAATCGCTCTTTAGTCTTCGATGCCACGATTCGCTGGCCATAGATGTAGAGAAGGGCGCTTTAGTTCTGCTCCACGCTGCCCACTCGTCTTGACGTGGAAGATGATTGGTCTATCACAAAATTAATGTTTTCCTTAAGCAATACCTTAAAATAGTCCAGAAATTCTGTCTCGCCATTAGCCTTTAGGTAGTCAAGGATTTTGTTGAGATGATTATCGAATGCTGTCTTGTTGGCCATATTGAGCAAGATGCGAAAGTCTTGCATAGTCTGATCGCTGAGGCTTTTCTGAAAAACCCTCCGATCGTAAATTTGGAAGATGTTCCTTACATTTTTCAGGCGGGAGGTGTTCCTCGCCAACGTCTTCAGGGAATGCCATTTACATAGCAACTTTTTTGTGCCATGATTTGGAAATATTTTCTTATAGGCCGCCCAAAACACCGGATCATCGTCAGAGATGAAATACTTGGGATCAAATTCGGCGCAATTTTGTCTAGGGAAAAGATTACAATTTAGGTTATGGACTGACTTAATTGCTGTGAATAAATTCTCGACATCGATGGTCCTCATCTGTGCAGAAAGCATGAACGCGACTGGCAAGCCACGGTCGCGTGGATCGAGAACGAGGATCGTCGCCAAGCGCAGATCATAGGCAGTAACTCCATATGTATCATCAATACAGATGCCTCTTTTAGAGTAGTCGGTCAGCCACTTCTGTTGCAAGGGCGTAGAGATCACTACAAAACGATTGGGGAGAAACTTGAATCCAACCTAAGTTAAACCCATTCACGCACGGCAAATTAGTGGGTAAATCAAAGCTTATCATTCCGTCATTGACATTTTGCTGCTCAAAGCGGATTAACACTGATTTCAGATCCGTCTCATCATATCGTCCAGGGATCAAGCCATTTCTTCTTTGGATTGCGCGGATGTCATCCAGTGTCACATAAAACTCGCGCTTTTCCGGTGCTTTGCCACGCACACTATCGGCTAAATATGGCGCACGCATCTGCTCAATAATCTTGGCGGGAGTGAAATCTAAGCTAACTTTAGTGTAGTCACTAAAAAAGTACCCTGGTGTAGCAAGCTGATAATACGGTCTTCCACCAAGGAATTTTTCAGAGTCAACTTTGCTATTTCAGGAGCATGTGAGTGAGTCTCCGCGTACACAATTTGGGCCGCGAAGTCATCAAGAAAGCTGATCTATAAAAAAACTACTAGCTAAATATTTCCAATCAAACCCTAACAAAAGCTGGGCAGGTGAAAAGCCGATCTTTTTCCGCGCCATGCGAACAGTATAAATAGCGGTGATTTTGGTTCGAGCTACGCGTCGAGAAACGAGAATTTGTGCGCTCTTCCAACTCCTTCAACCAATCCGAAACTGCATCGCGTTCAATATTGATCTCAAGAAGGTCAAAACTAAACGTAACAAAATACAGTTGAATAAAATAACGGTCCTACGGATGTTCGGCATCACGATGAAGCTGCTGATAGTGCGTCAGCAGCTCCTGGCTGCTACGCGTTGGAACTTTGCATTCACCACATTGAAAATGCACTTCGGATATTCGTGGCGTATCGGCTGGCAGGGAGGGACCATCATCGATGCGGGCTAGCGCTTTTTCCACAGTGCCTTGCTTAGCTATGCTCTTTTTGCGCGCAACAATAGGGATGGGAGAACCCCCGTGGAGTCGATTCATGTGCACCTTTAGGTTGTAGGGGCGATCAGTCTTATAAGAGCAACAAGGACAATCGGTGGACATCTAAAAAAAATTATTCTAGGCGCTATGTAGGCGTTATATGCAAAGAAGAAAAAATGATGAATGTGCAAAATTGCGCCAAATGCAAACGAAAGCGGCGAAAAGAAAGCTCAACCCCTAGTTATTATGCTTTTCCTTGTTGAAATTGTTGTTATACACTTTGTTTTCAATAAATATTTATTAAAACGAACAAAGAAATATGTTTTGCAAGCATCAGCCTTTGTTTTGGGTTTTGGGAGCCATTACGCGGCGTAAACCCAGGGCGGTGGGTTACGGTCATTGGGGCGCGCAATAGGAATCCTGCAGTTCAGGCGTTGTCAAATGCAGCGCCCGTTATTTTCACCTTTTCTTCAATTCTTTACTCTTTCGATTAGTTAGTCTTACAAAACAATCCATCCATTCGGTTACGTTAGCCTACACACCCACACTATCCACACAGCCTGTACGCGACCGAAGGTGGAGATAGAGCTACCTGCTAAATCAAAGAAAATTTCAGAGAAGTGAAACAAATGTAACTAAAACTCATTAAAAAACACAAATTCCTAATAAAATTGAAAATACTTTACTATACAACTCAGAATTTAACCTTTTGAACTAGAAAACATCAGGGATCCAGCTGAGGAGACCCACCCTGATGTTAAATTAGCCTGTCTTGGTTAAGGGTTAAGGTTAATAACTTTGTCCAGAAGCGTTTTCCAAATGTTTTTTTTCAACTGAATACGCACGAACTCGTCGGGATACATCGATTCCAGACGATTCCAGACATTTTGAGAACATACCGTAAAGTGAAATTTAGCCGCGGGGGGTGGGGGTTCGGGTGGGGGAAGTCGCCTGCGCAAACAGCAAAGAAGGTCTGGTTTTCTCAGCCATCTCTGCGGCCGCCCCGTTCCCTAACCTAAAAAAAGGGAGCCAGGGGAGCCCAAAAAGGGAACGAGGGAGGGGAGTGGTGCACTCTATAGCTCGCTTACGTCCAGAAGGTGGAAACCGTCGGACCAGTGACATGCCGGACCCTTCAAAAAAGCCGGACTCGTTAGAAAAAAAATCCTGCCATTCAGTCCGACGGTCCAGAAAAAAGTCGGTCCAATCGGTCCAGACGGTCCAACGGTCCAAAATAATTTCGGTCCAAACGGTCCAGACGGTCCAACGGTCCAAAAAAAAGTCGGTCCAAACGGTCCAGTCGGTCCAACGGTCCAAAATAATTTCGGTCCAAACGGTCCAGACGGTCCAACGGTCCAAAATAATTTCGGTCCAAACGGTCCAGACGGTCCAACGGTCCAAAAAAAAGTCGGTCCAGTCGGTCCAGTCGGTCCAACGGTCCAAAAAAAAGTCGGTCCAGTCGGTCCAAAAAAAATTTGGACCGGACCGACTTTTTCGGTCCGGACCGTAACAACCCTATCTCTCTCTCTCTCTCTCTCTCTAGCTCCACATCTTGCCTGGTCCGTTCCCTTAAACCTTAGAAAACCAAGGCTTTTTCTAGCGCCTACTCCTACCGCACCACCACCCTGGTCAGCTACACGATCGGGCTGAGGCTGGGCAGTCTGTCGTGTCTCAACTCGTTGCTCGAGGCGGTTTTTAGGTATCTATCCTCTCTCTCGCTCCCTCTCGCTCTCTCTTTCTCTCGCTCTCTCTCTTTCTCTCGCTCTCTCTCTAACTCGGTCTTCCTCCAGCCCGGCCCCACTATTTCTGCTCGTCTTCCTCCTGATGCCCTTCTACGCCATCATCTTGCATCGCAGAACGTCTCTGGTAAGAACTTGCGGTGCTTTGGCATCATCGGGGGGGGGCGTTGCCTCCTGGTAAACCTAATCAGCTACAAACTACAACTCCCCTTCCTAGGCCCGTCTCTCGATCATCGACCGTATCGTGCTCCTCTACATCCACTCGTTTCTCTCCGGAATCCTGGTGGCCCACCTGCTGCGCCACTACATCTCACCGGTATGGATTAGCACGACTTAATTAGACTTCTGTGAATGTTTAGAGCTCGTCCCCGCCCGTCTACTTTGTGCCGGCCGTCATCAGCCTGGTCATCTACGTACGGCTTTTGCGACATTCGACCTCATGTGCTTCTAGCAATTCGGCCCGCAGCTGTCCGAGAATCGCGTGACGTTCGTCGCCGCCACGGTCGGCTCGGCCACCGGCCTGTCCATCTTGCTGTCGGCCCTGTTCGGCTCGCTGAGCATCAACACCCTCGTCGCCATCGCCATTCAGGTGCATGCGTGAAAATAGAGTCGAAATTTCTCTTTTTCAGACGGCCTCCGCCCTCATCTACGTGCAAAATCTGATCCACGACGTGCTGAACGGGGAGACGGATCTCGTGCAGGGGAACCTGATGGGCCTCCTGCTCACACAGATGACGTACTTGGCGTATAAGGTCTGCCACATATCAGAACGTACCGTAGCGTAACATAGCGTAGCGTAACGGCGCGTATTGCAGCTTAACCTAACGGCGGGCCATAACGTTACGTAGCGTAACGTAGTGTATCAAAGCATAACGTAACGTAAGGTAGTGTGGTGAAGGACAATGGATCCCAGCGTAACGTAACGTAGCGTAGCGTGGTGTAGCGTAACGTCGCGTAAGGTAGTTTATCACAGCGTAACGTAGTGTAACGTAGGTAGCGTAGCGTCGGGAGCGTAGCGTAACATAGCGTAACATAGCGTAAAGTAACGCATCATTTCTATCCCCATTTCTCTCTTTATCCGACACACTAATTAAGCTATTTGCAGGTGATCATGTGTCCGTATCGCCCCGAGGAGCTCGACTCGAATCTCCCGTCGATTACCGGAATCTTTGCGGCCTAATCGATCGACCGTCACCCTCTCTCCTTCGCTATGTCTGCCTCTTTTTTGTGATACGGATAAATGGATTTTTCGATGGAGTACGATTGTATTCGGAATGGGTTTTAAAGGGAGAGTGACGTAGATTGGAGATGGATTTTCGTACAATTTCAAGCCCTTTTATGATTTTTTAAGTTTTTTTTTGTCTTTTTGGATCCGGGACCATTGATTTTTAGCGGTTTTGGGTGTCACCGTCCATTCAAAATGCGTGTTTGCGCCGTACTACTGTATACTTCGTCTAATGTAACCCTACTACCCCCCTAAAAACCGACCTTCGGACTCCCGAGCAGCGATTTTGGCAGCTGAAATCCGGTGCCGACGCGTCGACGTAGCTTCGGCACCTCTTCCCCGATCTCGAGGGCATCGCGCATTTCCGGGGGCATCTCACCGGTCAGCTCCTGAAAAGGAATTTGCATATTTTGATTGTGTATATTTTTTATTTTTTATTTCAGACAGGAAACGAGATTTTTCTGGTTTTTATGGGAAGTTTTTGCATAAAAAGCTAATAAAATTGTAGAAAAGGAAATGTTAAGGTGCCTAAAAATTCAAATTTGGGTAAAATTTTCAAAAACTAACCCCCTCGGCGATGCACACCTCCTTGAGCTCGCTCATCTTGGCGGCTAGTAGACTGTCAATTTCGGCCTTCCGCTTCAAAAGTACTCGATACCGAATGGCATCCTTGGCCCGATCGTCGGTGGTTTTTACTAAAAAAATTACGATAAAATTGCTTAAAAGTTACTAAAATAGTGCGTAATAGATCTGACTACTGTACTTTTGCATACCTTTAAAGTGCTTATACTCGGCCTGCTTGATGAGGGCGGGCAGTGATGTGGTGGATGATGATCCATCGGCCACCCTTGCCGACGGCATCGAGGAGGATGAGGTCGAGTGCAGAGAGCTGAAACAATTTTTGTACTTAAAGGGATAGGGAAGCGGGGCATTCAATCCTCCGAGTCGACTGGGTCTCGACAGCCACGTGACCCAACAGACGACACACTTGAGGCATTTAATATATGTATCGACTATTGTACGGCTTTAATGGCAAGAGTCTTTTGGAACGCAGCGTAGCTGTCAAGACCTACTTGAAGAATGATCAAATCTGGCGTGTAAAACCCCTTTAAAGGGACGCGCACGGCAGAAACGGAGATTTTTTGGCGATGGATTGCTCATAGATTCGCTAGAATGAAAAAGGCCAGAGAAACTGGTTTGCGCCGTCTTTTAAAAGGAGCCAGAAGGTCAGAAAAAGGCGAGCGGCTTTATTGTTAATGTGAGTTTGGGAAAAAATAGAATATTCCCATTTCGATACAAACTTTTGTGGGACCCGCAGTTTCCTTCAGAATTTGAAGATTCGGGGAAAAATAGCAAAATTCTAGAATCAATCAATCCAAACCTGAGCGACGGCAGACTCGAAGCGATAGAAGCACTGGAGACAAGTCGATCGATTCGCTCACCGGCCTCCCGCGGGCTCGTCTGCACCGTCGAACGGGATTTCTGGAAATTAAGGTATATGAATTTGGCTTAAAAGGCTTTCTGGTTAGTACGATTAAATATTATGACCATTCTCGAGACGTTTTGATGAGAGAGAGCTAAAGAGAGAGAGAAAGAGAGAGAGAGAGAAAGTGAGAGAGAGAGCAACTTGAGGGTTTATTTGCGTAGGGATGGGGTAAGACTATCGATGCGCTGGGGGGTAAGACTGGATCAGCACCTCAACGATAACAAACCAGAATCTAGCTCGTTTAAAGGAACTTGGAAGGCAAAAAGTCTGCAAATTCGGTCGGGTTTCCTCGTTTAAAACGCATTAAAGCTGCCAGAAAACGAAAAAAATCGACCCTTGCTGACCACTAGGTCTCGACAGGTACGTAAACCACCAAAAATCCCATGAAAAACCCTGGTTAAGTCCGGTTAAGCGCGCCATAAAGTGTCCAGGATCTGGAAATTCCGGCGTGAAATCTGATATTCAGTAAAATATGTGAATATAAGACAGGTATAGTCCGGAGCCGCTTATTTAGCCAGGACAATTGTCGGGCCAGCCTGTGTCCCGCGTGGAAGAAGGTAAATAGTGTCGCATACAACACCCAGGGCAAATAGTTTCAATTACGGGCAGATCTCAAGTGGGACACGGCCAATCGGGGCGCCGTATTTATACTGACTGTCAATAGGAATGGTAGGTATGGAAGAGTTTAAAGTTAGAAATTCAACGACTAGAAGGTCAAATTGAAGATCAAAATATCAAAACGTGAGAGAGAGAGGGAGAGGGAGAGAGAGAGAGGAGAACGAGTGAGAGAACGAGTGAGAGAACGAGTGAGAGAAAGAGAGAAAGAGTGAGAGAACGAGAGAGTGAGAGGGAAAGAGAGAGGGAGAGAGAGAGGGAGAGAGATGAAAGAGAGGGAGACTATAAGATAATCTGTGCCGGAATATTCTACTCACGCTAAGTTAAGGTTGGTACGTTACGTAACGCTACCCTACGTTACCGTACGCCAAACTACCGTTGATTACGCCAGTTAAAATTGGAAATGCGAGGAATTCGGAGTCAAAACATCGAGAAAGAGCGAGAGCGAGAGAGTGAGAGCGAGATAAATCTATAACGAGAGAAAGAACGCCAAAATTCCTACGAATTTGCCTGCCCTGACCATAATTATAGCCCCTAGTAGACCCTCCTGGCCCTGGGCCACAAATTCGGGGGCTCGTAACCAAATTTCAGGGGTCCCGCCCGCCCTGGAAGACTACACACTGCCCCTGGAACCCTGACTAGGGAATGGTCTCCACTCGGCTTCGAATTTTGGGTTAAAAGTTAGCTCATCTTGTAGAGCTCGAAGAGACGAATCGATTGATGTAACTCTTAGCTGCGGATACTGTAATACCACAAAGTTACAGCCCTTTAAAGTTTTTACCCGACCTTCATAAGCCCTCCCCACGCCCCCTCCACCGTGGTCTGGTGGCCTAGTGGTGTGGTAGTCGGCGTCTGGGGAATCTATCGAGGGTTCGGACCCGCTCACGATTTTTATGTTTTGCTTTTTCGTCCAAAGCCTTCTTTTTGCGTTCTGAAGGCCGTGAAGCAGTTTTTATTCATCATTTTTGCTCTAGGAAGCGCTCCGGCCAAAAATACCGCCCCTAAAAATTGTGGAAAATTTTGACAATTAGCCAGCTTGTCATTCCAGACTAAAAAATAAAATCAAAAATTTTTTCATGGGACCTTGGTTACGATAACGAGTTGTAAAGATGATTGTCAACCTGTTGCAATTTTTCCAAATTTTTTGGGGCCGGAGCGCTAGCCACCGGGGGTCAAAAAAATAATTTCTTTTTCCGAAGCAGCATTTTTGGCCGGAGCGCTTCAGAGAGCAAAAATGATGAATAAAAACTGCTTCACGGCCTTCAGAACGCAAAAAGAAGGCTTTGGACGAAAAAGCAAAAAATAAAAATCGTGAGCGGGTCCGAACCCTCGATAGATTCCCCAGACGCCGACTACCACACCACTAGGCCACCAGACCACGGTCGAGGGGGGGTGGGGAGGGCTTATGAAGGTCGGGTAAAAACTTTAAAGGGCTGTAACTTTGTTGTATTACAGTATCCGCAGCTAAAAGTTACATCAATCGATTCGTCTCTTCGAGCTCTACAAGATGAGCTAACTTTTAACCCAAAATTCGAGGCCGAGTGGAGACCATTCCCTAGTGAAGGGGCAGAGTAGGAAATTCGGATTTCCCGCTGCTGGAGCACGAGCGTTCGACCTCGATTTGCATCAAAGGGAATCCCTTTCTTTAGGATGGCCCTTTTCCCCCATTTCACTCATGGCACATTAGCCACGAACAACTCTCCAGGGTGGCGCCTGAATTTTGGGCCTTTTCAATCGGTGTAACTCGAGGAGCTCATTTTTCCAGGCGGCCTTGAGTTGTTTTTGTGTTGTTTTTTTGGAGGTTTACAGTCGGTAGAAATCCTTAAAAAAATTTAACTTGGCCAAAAATCCCAAAAATGCCATTTTCTTGTCAGTTTTTACCCAAAGAAGATGACGAATCTGAGGTTCAAGCCAAATATTGTGG